CCTCTCTAGTGTGAGATTGCATACCAATCCATTCCAACTTGATGAACCAAACATCCCCTGAAAACCAACAAAAATGTCAAACAAACCCCTTAAATAAAGTAAAAATGAAATCAATATTATCTAAAAAAATGATAAAACGTAAGTCCCTCTAGGGTTTTCTCTTAGGAGGGTTTTTTTCTAGCCTTTGCTAGGGTTTGGCTTCAATTTCGAAGTTGATTTTCCTTACTAATCATTGATTGATTTTCGTTTTAGTTCTGTTTTCTTGATCTTGGTTGTAACAATTTTGTTCTTTTCATGGCTCGATTGGACAAAAACCCAAACGATGATTTGGACCTAAATTCTGAACCGAATATCGATTGGGTGGATGGAGGAGGGGAGGAAGAGGAGGCGCAGGTCGAATTAGCAATAGTTGGGAGAATTCATACGTCTCGAAATACCAATTCAAATGCCCTGATCAATACTCTGAAGAAATTGTGGAACCCTAAACATGGGTGCGAAGCGAACGTGATAGGAGACAAAACATTCTTTTTCCAGTTTCATCATTCGAAAGACAAGCAATCAGTCATGGAGTCACAGCCATGGCATTTTGATCATCACATTATGATTTTGGACGATGCAAAAGGGAATATGAAACCCTCTGAAATCCCCCTAAACCTTGTGCCTTTCTGGGTTCGCATATATGATCAACCTTTCAAGGGTAGGAGTAATGAAGAAAATGCAAGAAGGTTGGGAAACAAAATAGGGTCCTACATATCCCTGGATAAGTCGGACGTAGTGGGGATAAACAAATCCTTACGGATTAGAGTGGCTATTGATGTTAACAGGCCGTTAAAGAAGACAGTGGAATTAAAAACAGGGAGGGGGTGATGGAAGTACCGATTAAGTATGAAAAACTCCCTGTATTCTGCTATATCTGCGGTTTGCTTGGTCATGGTGAGAAGGATTGTGATGATAGTGGGGCCTGCACAAACTTTAGTGAAAAGCTCAGGGTCACAACACCATGGAAGGCGATAAAGAACGAGGTTTCTGATGATGCAGGAGATCTAAGCAGGGCTGTTCGAAAACTTTTCATCACAAAGCCGATAGATCACAGTCCTAGTGAATATATAGAGAAGACTGTGGGGGCGGGAACAGCACCAAAACTATTGAGGCACATGAATCTCCTATCACGAATGTTAGGAAGGCAGCCTATCTAAAAAACCATCAGGAAATTCCCGTGGAGATAGAGGAGGGAAACAGGAAGGAGGCAGAAGGAAGAGGAGCGGACCAGGCTGATCTTATCCCAGAAAGAGGATGTTACTGACCATGATCAAAGCACAAAAACCCCTCTAATGCCGAGCTTTAAGGAGGAGGCAGGGAAAAAGGGAGGGATGAAACAATGGAAAAGAATAAACAGGGAGAGTGGAGAGGGAAGCATGGGAGGGGGATGGCAAGCAGGACTGGGGAAAAGAGCTAGAGAGGTTGAAGGGGATTTGGAGGCAGTCCAGCATATAGGAAAAAAGATCATTTACACAAATTTCTCGAATGGTGTGGGGCCATTGGCGGAGGTTGGCAATGACCAACCCCGCCTCACCCAATGAGTATCTTAGCATGGAACTGTCGGGGAATGGGCAATCCCCGATCAGTTCGAAGACTCCAAAAATGGAGCCAAAAATTTAGCCCTGACATACTCTTCATATCCGAAACTATGGTGGAGAGTACCGCTGTTGAAAATATAAAAGGTGCACTGGGATTCCATGGGGCTTTTGGAGTTTCAAGCATTGGTCGTTCAGGTGGCTTATGTATGTATTGGAGGGAGAAAGTGGATTTTAGGATAGTCTCTTTCTCTCAATACCATATATGCGGGGACATATGGAATGGGGGAGTGTTAAGGTGGAGGTTTGCTGGAATTTATGGATGGGCAAAGGCGGAGGAGAAGGTTCATACTTGGCAACTTATTCGCCAACTGTGTGCAGGGGAGGTTCCAACTTTACTGGGAAGGGACTTTAATGAACTATTGTCCTATAATGAGAGGGAGGGAGGTGCGCTTGGGGAGAGGAGGGAGATGGAGAACTTCAGGGAGGTAGTGACATAATGTGAGCTTCGAGACTTGGGATTCAGGGGCACTTGGTATACTTGGGAAAGAGGGAGAAATCCAGAAACGAGAGTACGGGAATGGCTTGATAGATTCCTGGGCTCGGTGTCTTGGTGTGAGATGTTTCAAAAGGCGTGTGTAGACCACATTGTGAGAATAAAATCAGATCATGCCCCGATTCTACTGCACTATGATGATTTCACTAAAAAAAAAGAAAAAGAAAAAGAAGAAAGGTTTCAAATTTGAAACTTTCTGGCTCACCGAACAAAGCTGTGAGGAGATAGTGAAAGATGTCTGGGAGGGGAGTGAGTATTCGGGTGTGTTGGGGAAGATTATGATGGTGGGCAGGAAGCTGCAAGTTTGGAGTGACGAACATTTTAACAAGTTGGGGAAGCAAATAGCAGAGGTGGAAGCAGCTTTATAGAGGGCTCAAGAGGGTCCGAGTGACAAAGAGAGTTGTAAAATTTGCAGTGACCTCGAACAGAAACTTGAAGAGCTGGAGGGGAAATTCGAATCATATTGGCATCTGAGATCGAGAGTAGCTGAGGTGAGGGAAGGAGACAAAAATACGAAATATTTCCATCACAAAGCCTCACAACGTCAAAGAAAAAACACTATATGTGGGCTTTGGGATAAATATGGAGTATGGAGGGAGGATGAGGAGGAGATAGGCTTGGTCATCAGTGATTATTTCAAGAACATCTTCACTTCAGCGAATCCTTCAAGGGCCGAGATTGATCAGGTGCTCAACAAGGTTCCAACTGCAATCACACAAGCAATGAATGATAAGCACGAGACCTTATACGAAGGAGGAGGTTCACATAGCTCTCAAGCAAATGCACTCGTGTAAAGCTCCAGGGCCCGACGATATGCATGCTATATTTTATCGACGTTTTTGGCATATAGTTGGAAATGATGTAGCAAACTTTGTTATTGGAATCTTAAATGGGAATGCTTTGCCTGAGAATCTTAATAAGACAAACATAGCCCTTATCCCGAAAATAAAATAGCCAAAATTTGCAGCAGAATTCCGGCCTATCAGTCTCTGTAATGTACTGTATAAATTGGTGACGAAATGTCTAGTGATGAGATTAAAAAGTGTTTTAAAAGAGGTGATTTCTGAAAATCAAAGTGCCTTTGTCCCGGGCCGCTTAATCACTGATAATGCTCTCATAACCCTATAATGTTTCCACACAATGAAGAAGAGATGTAAAGGACGGAAGGGTTATATAGCCATGAAGCTAGACATGAGCAAGGCTTATGATAGGGTTGAATGGGGTTTTCTGCGACAATTATTGCTGAAGATGGGCTTCGATGGAAGATGGGTAAATCTGATTATGAGGCTCATTACTTCGGTTAATTACTCCTTTATTATTAACGGGGAGGTATGTGGAGTTGTGTCCCCCACCAGAGGTTTACGACAAGGTGACCCCCTTTCTCCTTATTTATTTATTATCGTAGCTGATGCTTTCTCTCACATGATTCAGAGTAAGGTAGAAGCAGGGGAAATCCAAGGCGTGAAAGCTAGCAGAAATGGTCTGAAAATCTCCCATCTCCTTTTTGCAGATGATAGTCTCCTCTTTGCTAGAGCCAATCGACAGGAATGCTCAAACATTGTTGATATTCTCAACCAGTACGAAGCAGCATTCGGGCAAAAAGTCAATTACGAGAAGTCGGAAGTGTCATTTAGCAGAGGGGTGAGACACGAGCAAAAATCTGAGATTTTGGGGAATTAAAACATGAAGCAGTTAGATCGTCATGATAAATACCTAGGTATTCCGAATATTTTGGGGAGATAAAAAAAAAGGGCGTTTTTGAAGCCGTTCTTGACAGGGTGTGGAAAAAATTGCAGGGTTGGAAGGAAAAGCTACTATCTCAAGCCGGAAAAGAAATTCTCTTAAAGTCCGTAATCCAAGCGATTCCTACCTATCTTATGGGAGTTTACAAATTCCCCTTGGAGGTGGTGAGGAAAATTCACTCGGCGATAGCAAATTTCTGGTGGGGACAAAGTGAGGGGCGAAAACGTACACATTGGAAAAGTTGGGACTCAATGTGTACCCTCAAATGTCTGGGCGACATGGGATTTCGAGATCTAGAAGTCTTCAACGAGGCCCTTCTTGGTAGACAAGCGTAGAGGCTAACAACATGCACAAACTCTCTCCTTAATCGAGTGATGAAGGCGAAGTACTATAGAAATTTGGAGTTCCTTGGAGCTCACCTCGGCTATGGGGGTAGTTTTTCTTGGAGAAGTATATGGGGTTCGAAAGCTTTAGTTAAAGAGGGAGTGTTGTGGATAGTAGGAAATGGGAGGAATATCAACATTTGGACTGACCCTTGGATATGTGATGAAGAGGGCAGGTTTGCTACAAGTGACCCCTCACTGGAGATCACTAAGGTCAATGAGCTCATAATCTCGAAAGACATGTCGTGGGATCACAAATTGATTCAAACCCATTTCAATGATAGAGACACCAGAGGCATTCTCGCAATTCCTTTGAGTTCAAGAGCACCACCTGACGAGCCAACATGGGCATTTGCAAAGAACGGTATGTACAATGTAAAATCTGCCTATATGGTGGGAAAAGGTTGCAATTTGGATGATTTTCATCAAGCGTGGGTAGAAATATGGAAGGTCTGTGTAATACCAAAGGCTCGAAATTTTTTATGGAGATTATGCACCAACACAATTCCTATTCGTGGTCTCTTGAAACACCGTCATATGGTAGAGGATGATAAATGCCCATGGTGCGAGTACGAAGTTGAATCTTGGCAACACGCCTTCTTCAAGTGTGGAAGAATACAAGGTCTCTGGGAAAAATTGGGCTGCGCTGAAATGACGAAAGAGGTGGACACCCTAGAGGTACGTGAGCTCATTGAAAGCTAGAAGAGTGTAGAGAAAGATGTCAAGCACCGAGGCATCTATTTGATGTGGGGCATTTGGCAAGACGGAAACACCAAGGTTTTTCAGGGAAAGGAACCGCCAGTTGACATGCTAGTAGCTCGAGTTATAAGGTGGGCAGAGGAAAGTGCTGAGATGCAGAAAGCCGCAAGCAGAGCTGTCAAAGCCAATACCAGTCCAAGCCCCGATAGTTGGAACCCCCCCCAGCAGGGATCATCAAAATCAATTCTGACGCATCCATATCGAATGATGGTTGGGTAGGACTTGGTGTTGTTGCAAGGGACAGTGCAGGGTCAGTTTTGTTTACAACTACAAAGAGGATTAAAGCCTGGTGGGTGGTAGAAATTGCTGAAGCAAAAGCCATGGTATGTGCCTTAAGCTTAGGTGCTCGTTTCGGGTACAATAAGGCAATCATCGAGACAGATTGCCAAACTATTGTTTCAAGGCTTTCAACGGAGGCCTGCTACAGCACTGATATGGACTTAATACTAGGCGATGCCATGGCCTTATGTTCCTCCTATGACAGCCTCCGCTGGAGTCATGTGAAGCGAGATGGAAACTCCGTAGCACACAACCTTGCGAAGCTTATCCCCCCTAATTCTAAGCAAATATGGGAAAATTATGTCCCTCCAAATATAGCCCCTTATGTACTCATGGACTATTTGGTGAATTAATAAAATTGTTTGTTCCCCGCCAAAAAAAAACCACCACAACTATTTTTTGTAAGAGAAAACCTCCTTTCCATTTTCCGACATTGTTTAAGGTTTTCTTGCATTGACCTCTTCTTTTCCCTAATTGCCCAAGACTTGCTGCAATTAGAGAAAAGAAGAGGTTAGCGTCAGAAGACCATAGTCAATGCCATAAAATGGAAGGGAGGTTTCATCTTACAAAAAAATAGATCTATATGGTATTTTCTTGCAACAATGAGCTTATAAAAAGTTTTTTCCAATAAAAAAAAACCTAGATAAAAAGAATTGTCCGGATTAATATTTTATTTTATTAAAAAGTAAGGGATGTGACAGGAAAATAAACAAAAAAAAAAAAATTACGGCAGTATTTATGGTTAGACCATGAGGGAGAGAGATATATAATATTAAAATAAAAAGTGTGTTGTTAGCCCCTATTCACTTCACCCTTTTTTTTTTTTGGCTAAATTGAAATTATTTTTATCGAACTGAAATTATTTGTACTTATTCTCTATTATATTTCTTATTTGAAGTTACTGAACTTATTTTTACTAAATTGAAATTATATTTAATGAATATTATTTTTTTAAGGTGAAGTGAACATGGCCTAACACTTAATAAAAACGTAGGGAATTACATGCGCACAACCACACAGGAATAGAAAGGTGTTTCATATCATCATATTTATGGAACTTGTTGTATTGTTGAAACTATTAGAACATGACTTTTTTTGTTTTTTTTTTTTGTTGGACAAAAACGAAACATAATATTATTAAGAGGTCAAAACCTCAACATCATCCCAAACAACTTTAAGGATGTCATTTGGATACTCCTCAAGCCACACTCTAACACCCTCAAAGTTTTTACTCAACTTAGCAAGAGAATGGGCTGCCATGTTCCCTTCTCTTTTTACAAAGCAAAAAAGAAACTGAAAAGTATAGTCTAGCTAATCTAAAAATATCCTTTAAAATATGCCCAAATTTAGGAGGAGCTACACCCTTCTGCAAATGGCTATAAAGTTTTAAATTATCAGTTTCAAGGATAAAATTTCGAAAGCCAGTTTCATAGAAAATGTTAAGAGCATGTTGCATCACTAGAGCTTCACCCACATCAACCATAACTATCCCTTTACGCTGTTCACAGGTTGCAACAACCACCTCCCCCAAGGCATCTCTCGTAACTCCCCCAAGACCAGTACTAGTATTCTCAAAAAAAGCAATATCAAAATTAATTTTGTACATACCATGAGGGGGTGCACTCCACCTTTGAGCGTGATTACGCCTACCATCTCCCACATTGCTTGCTTCCATAGCCTTTCCATATTCCCCAACTAAACTCACATCACGTGACATTACACTAGATATTTTTGTGATTTTCATATTAGAATGTAAAATTATGTGACATTTTGTTAAGTTTTCCTCTCGTATCTTTAAAACATCAACTTTTTATAATTTTTATTACTATGAACGCATTAATAATTTAATAATTAGAGACATAAATGTGATAAAGAAATTCTCTTCATTTTATAAAGTAGTACAAAGTACATTTTAATATCATTAATATCTTTTTTTTAAGGAAAGATAATCGGGCAATTTATTGAAAATTTAAAATCAAGAAAGAGTGCATACAAATTAACTCGGAACAACCGTTGGTATCCCACCTAGCTTTAAGATGAGTAACGGTATTGTCGGCTCTTTTTTTTTTTTTTTTGAGGGCATTGCCGACTCTCTTTACATGAGAAAAAGCAAACCAATTACTAGTTAAAAGATTAGACAACTTTCTTAATATCATTAATTATGCTTTTTTGTAAAATTTAATTTAATAAATTCTAAGTTAATTTTTTTTTTACTAAATTCTATTCAATTTTTTTTTTAATTTAATAAATAAACTTTTTTTTTTTAAATTTAATAAAATCTACTGTTATTTCATGAAATGCCACTGAGTAATTGCAAAATTCACCAAATGTCATCCGACTTTTCAAAATTCACCAAATGCCACCGAGTTTTAACAAAATTCACCAAATGCCATTTTCGTTAGTTGATCGTCAATATCCGTTAGTTGACCGTTAGATGACCCCACCACTTGCCACGTGTCAGCTTCTGATTGGTCCTTTTAAAATAAAAAATTAAAAATTAAAAAAATAACAAAAATAAAAATTAAAAACTTTTTAAAATAGTAAAAAAAAATTTATAAAATTACAAAAAAAAAAAAAGAAATTAAGAGGTGGCAGCCACCACGTCCTCCCTGAGTGCCACCCCAAAACCCTAGCCACCACAACCCCTGCCGCCGGGGCTAGCACCGGAAGGCGCGCTGGCCTCCGGCGACCCCTCCCCTTCCCCTCCCCTACCCCGTCGCGACCCCCTATCCCGCAAAACCCCGCCCCCTTTCCTCCACCACCCTGAAACCCCACCCCCCTTCTTTTCCCTCTCCGATTTCCGGCACCCCAAAACTCCACCCCCCTTCTTTTCCCTCTCCGATTTCCGGCACCCCAAAACCCATCCCCTTCCCCAACAACTTCGTGATTGGTGCGAGATTGGTGGAGGAGTTTGTGGCCATTGATGCGAATGGTGCGAGATTGGTGGAGGAGATCTCGGCGACGGTTTTTGGGGTCGAGGCTGGCTATGTGGGTGATTTTGGTGGGTCGGCGGTGGATCAGGTGAGGTGCTAAAGGGCCGGCCGGCCGATTTTTGTTGGTTACGAAGGTGGCCGGCCGTTTTCCGGTAATATAAGGGGAGGGGCAGGGTTTCGGGGTGGTGGCTGGGGTGGTTCAATGGTTTTTGTTTTTTTAAAAAACGGGCCAATTAAAAAGTGACACGTGGTAAGTGGTGGGGTCCACTAACGTTCAACTAACGACTGTCAGTCATTAATGACACTCGGTGAATTTTGTTAAAACTCGGTGACATTTGATAAATTTTGAAAAGTCGGATGACATTTGGTGAATTTTGCAATTGCTCAGTGACATTTCACGAAATAACCGTAAATTATAAGTTTTAGGCAAGTATTCAAACTCTTAACAACTGGTTGGAAAATTTGTGGAATGATGAAGTGTTGAGCGCGGCGAGAGAAGTGAAGAGAGGACATCGTCGGCCAGGAATGCCGGCATCGGCGTGCATCTTTTGCCAAATCGGTCGGATTCCCACCACTACACGCCTGCTTTACCAGGTTTTCTCCCATCCCTCGTCATTCTCATAATTCGCCGAGTCTTTTAATTTGGATTTGATTTTGCAGGATGAACGTGTCGTCGCTTTCCAGGACATCAACCCTTCCGCGTTCCGGTGCGCCTTCGATTATTTTTATTTGAGATGCATTCGACATTGGCTTGAATTGTATATTTACAACACATTATACTGTTTGCAAGATCACCTTCTTTGATTAGAGTTTGCTAGGGTTTTGGCGTCTGTTATCCAATTACAGAGGTAGAGGTTTACAATTTCCATGTACATTTCATATGATATTGTTTTGTTACCGAAATTTCGCAGACATTACTTGGTCATCCCTATTGAGCACATCCCAACAGTGAAAAACCTTGAAAGAGGACAACAACACTATACTTTGGGTAATGCCACTGATCTTCAGTTCCCATTTTTGAATTCAATTACAATTCTAATATAGGATCTTGTTATCTCCAGTCAGTCACATGCTTAATGTTGGTAAATCGCTGTTACAACAAGATGCCGCTCAGTCTAATGAGCATAGGTATTGCTTCCCATCTGCTACTCTGGCTCCTATTTTACATTCACCTTTCTGCTGCATCTCTTCGTTTTTCATGCCCCTCAGTAGCATTGTTATTTTGGTCCTTGGTTCATGTGGCAGATTTGGCTTTCACCAACCCCCGTTTAATAGTGTTGACCATCTGCACCTTCATTGCTTGGCACTTCCTTTTATACCATGGTAGAATTTCCTTTCTATTTTTCTATAACTTTTTATAGTCTTGTCTGGTTTCTATCGTTCCTTTTTATTGGAAATTGGTAGTGTATCTTTTTATTTTTTTTATTTTTTTTCCAGCTGGAAATTTATTAAATACTCGTCATTGGGGCCACTTGGTGGATTCATTCAAGCAGAGGCGCTCTTGGAGAAGCTTAAGCCCTCACAGTTTTCCCAAATATAGGTATACCTTTCAAGTTTCAATCCTCACTGCATTATAACCTAGAGACCTCGGGATTATTTTAATTTATGAAGTATGATATGAGATGATTTTAATTTATGAAATTCAATGAATCATGCAGCACGTGGTCCACATCGTGTGCTTTATGGACTCTTTAGACTTTTGAGGGAATATGATATGAGACTTTTTAGTTATTAAAGTGAGCAGATTGTGGCATCATGTGGCTTTGCAAACATCTAACTAATTTTTGCTCGTATAGGTTAGATCTCCATGTATATATGGGGAATGTTAAACTGTGGTGCATTGAAAATGCAATTTGACAGAAGATTATCCAAGCCATAACTTTAATTTGCGATTATTGGAACTTTTCTGGAAGTTGGTCTACTATTTATACATTAGGAGATAAAACAACGTAGTTAATTGGCTTGGTTCTGTCACTACTGTAGTGCTGTGGTGATTAAATATGGTATAATGCTTTGTCACTCTAAATCTCTCAGGTCAGTCCTTTTTACCTGCAAGAAAGGCACAGTTTTCTTTGAGAGCACTTGATTAAGGGTGATCAAGCATTATTATTGTCTTTTGTTTTCGTATGTCTGACTCAATGAGTGAACTTAACACTTGTATTATGTTGAAAGCAATAATGTATTTGTCTGTCATTAGTGTCATTGTTTAGACACGGCACTAAAAAGTGACATTAATCTAAGATAATTTTGTTTTGGACTTGTTGCCAGAGAAAATTTTCAGCTGTTGTAGTCTAGAAAAATCAAGATGATCTGCCTCTGCATCAAAAGGAGTAGCCAGTGCCCAGTGATGTTATGGTCTACCTTTAGATTAGTTTAGGTGTTTATAGGTTAAGTACTTGAATGTATGAATCCCTCTATAGTATATACATGCCTCATAGTGGTAAAACACTTCATTTTTTTTTTATGTATCAATGGTTCCTAGTGAGCCTGTTCCCTGCCTCTTTGCAGGACTAGCCTTTCATATTTGGTTGATCTTTGCAAGGCAGGCCTTATAAGTATATGCGAGTCTTGCTAAATCACATGTTTTTGCACTTTCAATTATGGATGAAAACGAAGATCAATCTGTGTCTGTTTTGGTGGGGATTTGGTAATTTTTGAATAGCTAATGTATTTTGGAGCCCCAATCCTCTTGATTAGAGCTTCAAAGAATGCTTGTTACTCAACTTAGGGAGCATGTCAAATAAGGTTGTGGTCGAGGAAAAAGTCAAAGGTTAAAAGCGGAGAGAGAAGAGGTGCATGTTTCATATTTGAAATATGTGGACTACACTATTTTATCTTTTTAATTATTTTTATGGTGGCTTATTTAGAAATTTTCAAGAAAATTCTTACTGTGTTATAGATGTATGAGGTGGTTTCAGGCTTAAATTTCTCTAAATATAATATAACAGGCTTAATCATATTGTGCTCGGGCATTATGCAGCTATTGTTGGATGCCAAGTTGAGGATGAACTTGGGTTTGCCTCTTGGAGATTATCCACATTCAAAAATATTTGGAAAATTTGTCAAGAATAAGCCAACCTTTAGTCGATCTTCTCAAAATAAGTCAAGCTTTTGATTAACTCAAAATAAGTCGACCTTTGCTACCCCTCATCTTTAAATGCGCTTTCTTACCAGTTACCTACTACAAAAAATATCAATTTACTTTTTTTCCTTTTTATTTACATTCCCACCTTCCCTTTACAAAAATAAAATAAAACATAAAAAATAAAAACCAACCACCCACCCACCCACCATCCAAGCCAACCAGACCCATACCACCAACCAATAACAACCCAGGCCACCTCAAATTCTCCCTCGATTACTGCCGCTCAAAGTTGCCCTCACCTCACTGCAATCAATAGCAAAATTGAGCCGTGCAATTGACAACCCACCAATAGTCCGCCCACCAGGCCTCAACCACCGTGCCCAACCAATAAATCCTTATTTCCAAAACACACCACTTCGGCAGTTCGGCCACCCCCTCTTTATATCGCCACCTTAATTAGACAATCAGCCACCTACTACCTAGGCCATTGCCTGCAAAAACCCTCTTCCTTCCTCTATATTTCTTCTTCTTGTGCCACTTTCCTCCACCTACACCACCCATGGCGTCTTCAAGATTAGCGTCGCCAGGCTCGCCAGTCGCCACCAACTTAACACTAGTCAAGTGAGGGTTTTTTTTTTTTTTTTTTTTTTTTTTAAAAAAAATGGGGTCCAAGTGGTTTTTGATTGGTGGGTGGGAAGTTGTTTTAGGAGTTGGGTGGTGGTTTCCAGCGTAGTGGTGGTTTCGGGGAAGGGGGTTGCAGGAGAAGCGAGGAGGGTGGGCATGGAGGCTGCGAAGGGGAGCCGGAAAAAGGGAGGTGAACATGGAAGGTAATGGTGGGACATTGGTGGCCGGTGGGGAGGTGGGCAGGGGTGGGGAAGCGGTGGCAGGGGAGGGTGAGGGATTGCTGGGAAATGAGGAGGAGAGAGACTTCCTTTATTTTTTTCTTTGGTTAATTGAAAAAAAAACATGAAGCTTTTTTATAATTAATTACAAAAAAAAATTAATTAAAATTTTACAAAAGACCAACCTTGTTATGACACGTGGCATTGTTTACCTGAACAACCGGTTACTTCCTAATTCAACAGGTTTTGACTCGTTTTGAGAAGATATCATATTAAAGTCAACTTATTTTGATATAATTGAAAGTTTGACTTATTTTGAGAAGACCGGCCAAAGGTTGGCTTATACTTGACAAATTTTCCAAAATATTTTGGGAAACAATTATTTTGAGGATATTTAGCCAACTTGGTGGGTGGAAGATAGTCTTAATTTTTTTTTTGTTTTGTTTTGGGGGGGGTGGTTGTGTGGAGGGGGTTGGGTGGGGGAGGATAAGTTTGACTCAATCATGCTTGTCTAGTATCCATCTCTATTATCTCTCCCTGATAAAAATCTGATATCTGTTGCAAGTGAATGGAGAGAATGATGAGGAGTATTTTTGCAGTGTGGGGCAACCAATATAAAGAGAGATTGTCATAGGAGTTGGGATTTGTTGTGTTGACTGAAAGCAGGAGGTCTAGGGTATGGAAAGTGGATGTCAAAATATGTTGCACTTGTAGGAAAATGGTTGTGGCGTTTTCCTTCTGATTCTCAGTCCCTTTGGCATCTAGTTTTTAGGACCATATATATGCTCTGTATTGGGTTGGTTGCACAAGGGGCTCTTAGAGTGAAACTTGGTTGTCCTTGAAGGTTTGTTTCATTAGTCTTTTTTTATTCTCCTATTCAGTGAGGTTCAAGGTATGGGATGGTGTCATATTCGTCTTTGGAAAGATGTTTGGAGATGAGAGCTGCCTTTTAGTGCCCGATTCTTTCTAATATACCAAATGTCTACTCTCCATAACCTGCATGTTGCTGGTCTTTATGGTGGTAATGCTTGAGATTCTACGGTTTTGGAGATCACAACATGATAGGGAGTTAGCGGAGTCACTTCTCTACTATCAGTTGCTGCTGTGTTAAAAGTGTATAGTTGTGTGCCTAATATGTCTATATTATCCAAAATTGTAAACTTTTGTTGATTGCACATATGCTATATCAATGGGAATGAATTTGGTTCATTTCTGGCTTTGTTATTGTTTTCTGGTAGCACTGGTTTAGGGGATGATAATTGTTTAATCCACTACTATGGAGTTTTGGGTTTTTTTAATAATAGTCAATAGCCATAATCAGTACTAGAGTTGATAGCAGAAAAATCTTTTACAGGTTTTTGAAAATTCCTTTCATTCTTGTTAACCAAATGGCCTTAGGATGCAATCACATATTGGGTTTTCGTTTGCTACCTGAGCCATGCTGTCTATACGCAAGCAGGATATAATGTTGGATCCAGTTATCGATACTGATATGTGCATTTGTCCTTTACTCTACATCTACTAACAAAGACGAAATATGTGTTTAGAGTCCCCATCCATCTGATAGTGTCATGGTGAATTTGAACATTGATCCCCTCTTGTGACTATAGTAAGTTTGAATCTGGGGGACACGAAGTTTTCCAGGAAAAGTTATTCTTTTTCATCATCAGAAACATATATATATATATATATAGTGTTATAATATTAACATGAATAATAATCTTTTAATCGTTAATGTGGTCTTAAATGCAGACTCTCGCCTTTAGTAAACAAGAATTATATAAAAAGTTTCTGGTTTTACCCACCTTTTTTCTTTTTAGCTTATTTCAATTTTGACCTTGTAGCTTTTAGTACTATCGAGTTTGACTCAAAATGATTATCTGGTTATTCAAAATTTCAGGAGCGGGTGGAATTTCCAAGTTTTCACCTTTTAACAAGCAAAAAATTAATGTAAGTTAGACTTGAACTGAAAATTTATCTTATGGCTATCAACTTCATTTTGATAACTTACCTAAAGGTTAGGTAACTTTTCTTCTTTTTAACCTTTAGTATACATGTTCGTCTAAAACTGCTGTATGATCTTTACCCTTTATTTCTGCATAAATTTTATTTTATATTTTACTGCATCTATGTCTGCTGTATCATATGCTAGGCAGCTAGGGTGAGAAAAAAATTCACCATGTAACATTCAAGCTTCCTTATGTTTTGTTGGATGATATCCACTGTCTAGTCAGCTTCTGAGCATTGGTCCATGTCTTTTTGTTTTTTTGATGGGCCATTAATCCGATACCATGTAGTACCCTCTCTTTGCCCATTCTTTTTTGATGGGCTCTTTGCCTCTTCTTATCTCTTAAATTGATCTTTAAAGAACTGGTTGTGGCCCACTTAAGATAATTGTAAGTTTAATGTTTGTGCTTATATAGATATACCTTTTTTTATCTTAAAAAAAATTAAAGGAAAAAAGACAAAAGATGTACGACTAGTGTTTTGCTAACCTTTCAAACTCTTTGGAAGTTGACATACTGATTTCACTGATGAGAAATATTGACTTGGATAGAAAATGGTTTTCTGCATTTTTCTACTATATTTTGTAGATTACCTAAATATCCATATCCATCTAATTTTTCAGTTACTTGTTGAAATTGGATGCAACAGAGTAATTGGCGTATCACATTTACAGCTGATTTCTATAGAAATGAGGTTCTTATTGTGAAATTAGCTGCTCACATTACATTAATTAGGTAATCACCTATCCCATATATAGACCAAGAAACCCTGTTGCTCTCAGTCTTTGTTAATGTTTCTATATAAGAACCCTTTAATTATCATTGTCCCTGCCTTTGAAGTGTTTGTTTGAATATTCCACAGGCATCCCCTGTTTTGGCCCTTGAAGCATTACTGTTTTAGTATGCGTCTCTTTTTGCATAAGCATTTTTTAATTCATCCAGATTTAGGTGGTTGGATTTGGAACTTAGATAATTGTGTAAGGGATAAGATGCTGAATGTATAGTTAGGCTAATTATTTTATAGAATTAATATGAGTGTGACAGGATGAGTAGAGAAGGCCTTTCGATTTTACTAATTTTAGACATAGAAAGTCAATATATGGTGATGTATTTATAGTGATTTTGGCAGCTTTAGAGTATTCCCCACCGTACTATCTACGGCCGTCAAAATTCTGGAACCACTCCCTTTCAGTGGAATTATTGAAACTGGCTGCATAATTGTCAAGCATCAAGTACAGCTGGATTTTTCTTGTAATGTTCACAGCAGTAATAGTTTGTGTCACAATTTTCATAATACAGTCGGATGAACCGTAGAGCAAATAGCTTCAAGTAGTATTTTGCACTTGTTACCACCATTATTTTATAATTGATTGATCTTACCGTAGAGCAAATAGCTTCAAGTAGTATTTTGCACTTGTTACCACCATTATTTTATAATTGATTGATCTATTAAACAAGTAGTTTCGTCATTTTGTAGGTTAGCTGTTGGAGCATTGTCATTCTGTACGTTAGATGTGGAATTGGCAAATGGTAATAGGGAAAGTTGGGTGGTGGTTGAATAGGTGTGTGGTGTACTAGTGTGGTATGGTAGTTACGCAGTATGAAGTTGTGATCTGCTGCTATATCTGGGTAGCAAGTAATAAGGTTGTAGTTAGGGGCATTTCCTTGAAAATTGAAAGATGGAGGATGAACAAACTATGATTGTTGGGGATAAAAAATAATGTTGTGAATCACAACTAGTTGTAGTAGGGATTAGGGGACAAAGATGAGTTATTGTTATTAGTAATATTATGTTACGTTAAAAAGATTGTTTATATGAATATAGTGGTGATGATTTGGTTGTCACAAGTAAATTAGCTGAATAAGTGGTACTGTAATAAGGTGTATGCGCAGTGGGTAGAGATGATAGATAGTTATGGTAGTAGCTAAATTATTGTTATTTTACAGGGTGTAGGGCCTGGTCCTCGTAAAGCCATTTGTAGTTTAAGTTATAGATGAATGATGAGTTGATGACTCTAAGACCTTAACCTGATGATGATAACAATACCTAGGCTATTTATTTCAGCATTGATGCCTTTTTGTCACTAGTTTTTGATACGAAGCATATTTGTAGAGGCCCCGAGAAAGTAAGCGAGTAAGGCTTTGAATACTCGTAATGGAGAATCATCGGTGATTGGTGATTGGTGATTGGTGATTGAGAAGAAACAAAGGGTTCAAATAATTGAGTTAGGAGGAGTAGGACTTTAGTAGTTGTTTTTTTAAAATTTGTGTTTGGGTGGGTAGGTGGTCGTGGAAGTGCCAACAGAGGCCAACAACACCTTCTATTTTATACGGAAATACATTTTTTATTTGGCGACCCTCATCCTTCATTCTAATCTGTCTTTTTCTCTTTTTATTTTTTATTTTTAAAAAAAAATTAATATAAAATGCATAGCATGCCAAAAGCAAGTTCAACTGTTGTAATTGTATCCTTGTTTTTTTCATAAAAATAAAATAAAATAAAGCTAGCACCAAAATGGGACCATCGACTATAGTAATTTGGACTGTAACTAAGAATTTCGACGTCGGCTTATGTGTTGCACCCTGACATGCCCGTGCGCCCTTTTCTTTGTGTGGCCTAACTATTTAGATTTTGGAGTCATGCAAATATGCAATATGCAATATGCCAATATGCAATATGCAATATGCAAAGCTGTCTTTTGTTTTTCCTTCCCCTTTTTCTCCCACACTTATTATTATTATTATTATTATTGTTATTATTATTTAGTGCGAGTAGTCCATAAAAACACTTAGTGGTAGATAATATATACGACTATTTATTTTATTTTCTAAAATTAATAAGCTTCTTATTATTGACAAGTGATATAGGGAATCAATGTCAAATGAGAATGAATCTAACACAAATTGTACGATTATTAGTTTTAGTTAGTTACTAATGAGAGGCCTGATTGATTTTAATTTGGAATTTGTTGAGGTGCAACCATCAAGGTTTGGCCTTATTTAGGACACCTGTCATGCAAACTTAGGACAAACTTTTGGTTACTATTGGATGAGAATTACTCATAAAGGATTTTTTGGTGGGAAATCCTGAAGCTGAAATAGATTGAACCATAACTGGTATGCTGTATGTAAGCTGGCATTCATGTATTCTATAAAAATTTAAGTTTTCTTTTGAACACAGAATACTATTAGTTGATGGAGACAGTAGAAGAGAGAAAGAACGTTATTATTAGTACAGTATTATTATTATGATTGTCACATTAAGATTGATTTCATCATTAAATTATATCATCTAGTTCTTGTGTTTTTGTAGGTCTCTAGGTAGCTAGCTGTCTTTCAGTTTCAGTGATGATAAGCGCCAACTTGGCAACTTATTATTAAAGGAACACCAAGTTCTAAGAGTTAAGACTACCATACTTATGATTAATTAATGAATTCCATCATTTATTTTTTTCAAATTTCATTTCATTATCGTTTTCTGCCCTACTATTACTACTCCTGTACTACTTTTACTTGATATTGACGCCTCTTAAACCTGTATCTTTATTTTCTTATATCGTTTTTAACTTGTACTCGTAACTTTCTATGTTCAAACCTGGCGGTACCACTGATTCTAACCAAACCAGTCTTTGGTCAATGTTTTTGTTTAAGCTTTTGAGCATCCACAATGGCTAGCTACATGTGTTTGTAGCTAGCAATTGCCACATTATTATTTTCTTAGTTAAAATAAGCTACAACATCTAAGCTATAACCTTCACAATGGTTAGCTATTTATTTTTGTAATTGGGAATAATAATAATAAATCAAAAATAAAAAAATAAACATAAAACAAATACATACAAATATTAAATAAATCAATATAAGTGTATTGGGTGGAGCAAAACCTTGTAGCCGCTTGGCCTTAGCTACAACCTTTGTAGCTCCACAATGGTGAACATGTAGCTCTAACTATTTATAAATTGCAAGCAAGTCCTTTTATACTACAATTGTGGATGCTCTCGATTGTTCTATACGGACTGCATAATTTATTCTTTTGGGTTCTTGCCCTTCTTCAAAGCAAATCGGTCATTCACCCCCACTTCATCCATAACCGCAAAGGAAGAAAGATTATGAGAATCGCTCTACCAATTATACTCACATGTCATTCGGCATCAATTTAGTTGTCAATTTTAATTTATAAAATATAACCTTAATATATCGCTCTTACTTCCCTCAAAAGCAATAAATTATTCCCATTAGACTTTTTTTATATTTAACTTTAATCAACAATAAATATATTTTATTTACAGACAAATTGATTAACAAAATTTGTCCCAATTCCATATTAAGTGTAACATATAAAGTAAACAGGTCTAATCAATATTGGGAAGATGAGGGGTAACAAGTACTGTACTTCCTATTTAAATAGCCGACTTTTTATATTAGTATTTGTAGACTTTGTATTAGATGGAGAAAACTAAAACTATCCTTATCTTGAACACAATTACCACTTCTTAAAAATCAAAACCAACCGAATCAAAGTTAAAAAAGCAACAAGACTATAATACCCCAGTCCCACTGCTCCTGTCTAGTATCAACCTATACGGAATGTCTCCTTACTACGGAGTAACATTTTAGACAATTCACAATTCCTAGCTTAAAGAATGGCCTTCTCTTCAAATTAAAATACATACCCGAAATATCTACCTAGTCGAGTGGAGTGGACTAGTACTAAAGTGTATAGCTGTAACCCTTCAATTTTACCAGAAACTTCCTCCTTACCTTACCTCTCCTCTGCTTTCTTTATATCTCCGCTTACTCAAAACTCAAAACCCCTATCTTCTTTCTTTCTTTCTTTTTCTCAAGAAAACAGAGCCACCATCTATGTCTATGTCTATGTCTATGGCTTCCTCTAAGCTCCTCCTTGCATGCTTTTCTCTCTTCCTATCTCTTTCAACGGTCTCAGTAACATCCCAACAATTACTCCCTTTAACCCACTCACTCTCCAAAACTCAATTCTCCTCTGCCCATCACCTCTTGAAGTCTACCGCCACCATCTCTGCTGCTCGACACCGTCGCCATACAAACAGAAAACGAGTATCTCTTCCTCTCTCTCCTGGAAGCGATTACACGCTTACCTTCACCCTCAAATCCCAAACCTTCTCTGTTTATATGGATACTGGAAGTGATATGGTTTGGTTCCCTTGTTCTCCCTTTGAATGCATCCTCTGTGAAGGCAAGTACCCCCCTGGCTCCCTTTCCCCTCTCAACGTTTCCAAATCCTCTCTCCTCTCCTGCAAGTCTCATGCTTGTTCTTCCGCCCACTCTTCCCTCTCCTCCTCTAACCTGTGTGCCATCGCAAAGTGTCCTCTTGATGAAATCGAAATCTCAGACTGTTCCAATTTCAGTTGCCCCTCTTTCTACTACGCTTATGGAGACGGTAGCTTGATTGCTGAGTTACACAGTGAGACTCTACTTATGCCTTCCACCTCTAACAGTAAGCCCTTGAATCTAAAGAATTTTACCTTTGGTTGTGCTCACTCTACTCTAGGTGAACCCATCGGAGTTGCTGGCTTTGGCAGAGGCTCTCTCTCTCTTCCAGCCCAATTAGCTAACTTATCCCCTGACTTGGGTAACCAATTTTCTTATTGTTTGGTTTCTCACTCCTTTGACTCCACCAAACTCAGACACCCAAGTCCCCTCATTCTCGGCAAATACAAGGAGACTGAAATCGATCAAGTTTCTGAATATGTCTACACTCCCATGTTGGAAAACCCCAAACATCCTTACTTCTACTCGGTTGGGTTGGAGGCAATATCTGTTGGAAGTCGACGGATTGAAGCACCGGAGAATTTGAGGAGAGTAGACAGACAGGGAAACGGGGGAGTTGTGGTGGATAGTGGGACCACGTATACGATGTTGCCAAGCAAGCTGTACAAGGCGGTGGCAGTAGAATTGGAACGGCGAATAGGAAAGGTGTTAAAGCGGGCAACGGAGACAGAGTCGATGACAGGATTGAGGCCCTGTTTTTATATGCATGGTAGGAAAGGGAGGTTGGGGGTAGTGATTCCATCGTTGGCGTTGCATTTTGGGAGGAATTCGAGTGTGGTGCTCCCCAGGAGAAATTACTTTCACGAATTTATGGATGGTGGGGATGACAAGAAGAAGAAGAGCAAGGGTAGGAAGATGGGATGCTTGATGATGATGGACGCTGGAGAAGAAGAGGAGGAGGAGAGTGGGCCCGGGGCTACGCTCGGAAATTATCAACAGCAAGGTTTTGAGGTGGTTTACGACTTGGCGGAGCGCCGGGTGGGGTTTGCCCGCAGGGAGTGTGCAACTTTGTGGAATAATTTGAACCAGCACTAACGTGCGCCTGGGGGCTGGGGGAGTTGACTTTTTGTAATTGTGTCAACGCCAATAAACTATTGGCCGCACGTGAAGCTCAAGGTTAAGCTTGATGATGGATTTAATGAGTTTGCACTATGAAGTAAATTACTCACTACTCAGTCATTTTCGTTTGTGCAGATAGGTAAGTGGTTCCAATTTCCAATGGGTAATAATAGCAACATCAACAGGAAAGACGTGTTTCGGTGTTTGTATAGATTTTCTCTTTTCCTTGTAACCAAGTATTGTACATTTGTACTTTTGTAATTATCTTTTAGGTTTTTATCTTCAGCTGTTAATTCAGGCACTTAATTTTTTCATGAATTTCCATTTGGTTACGTTATATGGTTGACATAGTATAAATGGAGGATCATGGAGTGGAGGGACGGTTTGTCCCTCCATCTTCCCCAAGAGTGACCAGGGTTTGATCCTCACCCCACCCCTCCTATGATAGGAGGGGCACACCCTGTATCTTACCGTGTAAACAAAAGTAAATAAAAAGTATAAATGGAGGAATTTATAATTTATGGAAATTACAATTTTTCACAAAAGATGAGAACACCCATTCCACCCTTGTTCATTCACAATTTCTAATATTTAACAATCAAAAGCATTATTGTAATTTGTAGGAATTTTATAAAGGAATTAAATGTTCATGCATTAGAAATTCTTAAAGGAAACTATTTCCTAAAATTTACCAAACGAGGCCTCATATTACAGACTTGTTCTTCTACACTTTTTACTAGTTCTACATCCTTTAAAATTTTAATCTCCGTTGAACTTCCTCCAAAATCAATTTCATGATTTCCCATAAAAGAAATTCCCATTTATCTTCAAGCTTGATAATTTACTCTTAAAATTAATCCGAAATCGTGTTTTACAATCTTTGATTTTGAAGAATTATCATACATTTCAATCTCCAAGAAGAAAGATGTCGAGGTGTTTCTCATAAATCCCATGCGATCCCGATATGCCATTAGGGTGTTTGTTGTAGGACGACAATCAGGCATTAGGCGCATGTTTCGCTTCTAGCATGAATTTTTGATTTAGAAGTGTTAAGTCATAATCTAGCACATGATAGTCTTGTTTTCAATCAAGCGCGATGATCAATTGTGTATTTTATGGAAAGTAGTAGGTTGAGTCGTCATTGCGACAATGTCATGAACAGAGTTAAACGTCTCTTTTAACACTTGGCTGCCACAAACCAATTATTCTTGTGACAACTATTCCGATACTTATAATGCCTTTAAATTTAGAAGGTTTTGCCTCAATCCTTATATTACTTATTTACGAGTAAATTTTTAAAAAGTGTGACTAGAGTGTAAATAAAGAATAGTGAATATTGTTTTTTTTTTCTATCACATTCTTTATTTTTCAATAAAATAATAACACATTATATTTTCATATAATTTTTTGAATACCTACTTACATTCTTTTTTATATTAAAATCAATTAATTACTAATCTAAAACACTATGTATAACACCAAATAAAAAGTGCGGGGAAAGGGAGAGATGTGTAGCACGTTGTACAATTGTTTTTGTAATTAAAAAAGGCACAAAGCAAAGTCATTCTCTCTGAAATTGAAATCGATCCATCCTTGTCCTTGATCTTTCATTCCTTCCTTCCTTCCCCAAAATCAAACTGTCTTCCCACCTAAACTTAATAAATAAATAAATTAAAAGTAAAGGAAAAGGGCTTCCTTCCTATTTCCTAATATCCCCAGAATCTCGAAATCTCCGTCACCTTGTTTGCGTTTGCAGATTAGTGGTAAATCTGTAGCGGGGGTTTGATCATCGAATTTGTCGGATCCGGTTGTGATTGAAGATGAGCACGGGCGAGCTTCTCAATATCGAACCTTTGGAGCTCAAGTTTAACCGTACTATTCATTCTTTCTTAATTTTTACAGATCTGTTATTTGCTGCTGATCTAAGCTAGGGTTCCTTTTCCTATTATGCAGTTGAGCTCAAGAAGCAGATCTGCTCTTCTCTTTATCTAACCAACAAGACCGATAACTATGTCGCCTTCAAGGTTTTCTTTTCTGATTTTTATTTCTTCAATTCTCGCATTTCATTCAATTATGGTTCTTATGTATAATGTTATTCTAATTAGGTTAAAACCACCAATCCCAAGAAGTATTGCGTTCGTCCTAACACGGGCGTAGTTTTGCCCCGATCAACATGCGATGTTGTAGGTAATTAAACAACATATTTACTAGTAATTTAATTGATTATTGAGGGGATGTTCAGTTTTTCTGTTAATTAATTTATATATTATTATATACAGTTACTATGCAAGCACTGAAGGAGCCCCCTTCTGATATGCAATGCAAGGACAAATTTCTCCTTCAGAGTGTTATTGCTAACCATGGCACAACTGTTAAAGATATCACTCCAGAAATGGTAACCATTCTTTCGATTACTAAGAATTAGCCTACCAACAATTTCATTCCATTCATGTTATGTGGCATCATGGCTACTTACTCCTGTGCGCTTCGTCCTCCAGTTTAGCAAGGAGGCAGGACATGTTGTTGAGGAGTGCAAACTGAGAGTGCTCTACGTTTCCCCCGCCAACCGCCTTCGCCAGTTCCTGAAGGCTCTGAAGAAGGCGGTTCCCCTAGGGGTTCTGTTTCTGACAACGGTCATTTTAGTAATTCCGACTCTGCTGTTGTAAGTATTTTCATTTTTTTTTCTCTTTTTGTTCTCGTTCTTTCTTGACTTGTTGCTATTGATAATGCGTCTCTTACTTCAAATTCCAGGCATCAAGAACATTTGGTGAATCTCATGACAAACCTACAGAGGTAATATATTTTCTATTTTACCATACTTTGTCAACTTATTCATTTCATCAAATTTTCATCAACCTGACATTGTTTTGCGAACTGAAATAATATACTTTACTTTAGGATCGTAATCGTATCAATCTCTATCACTCTATGTGTGTATACATATACATAAACACACTGCCCTGCCTTTATTGTGCTTGTAACCAGATGCTAGATAATTTTGTATTTTTGCTTCATAATTTGAGGCATTATGTTAAAATTGTTGAGATATTTTTAATTGTTTTGTAAGGTTGAACTAGTTAGCTTCTAGGGAGTTTTTGATCTAACTCTAAATCAATTTTGTGTCTTTGCTGAGCAACCCTCCTTTTTTCCTCACCCACTCAATTCTTAGTTAGGTTTGCAAATAATACTTCTTCTGTTTTTATTTACTTGCAATACTTCTCACTTCATGCTTGCCAATGCATTATTGCAATTACAAATATCTTTAATTAACAATATGTAAAATTTATAAAAATTTGATACTATGAAGGTATAAGTTGAGATGATTATAACAAACTCCCACATGACTGTATTTTAATAAATCATCAAAGCTAGTCAAAATGAAGTATATGAATAGTGTAAAAGTCAAACTGTGCAAGTCAATAAAACGGAGGACGTATTTACAGATTTTGTGTGTTTGTAAATGGTCTATTTACAAATTTACAAATTTTTTAATCGATTTTTATTTGGAGAGGGGGAGACATGAGTCGCTGTTATGTTGCTGATGTTTATGATTGGTTGGGTGTATGAATGGAAAGTAAAATGATCTATCTTTGTTATTATGTATAGTAATTATTGAACAATTTTTTTATTGAAATTGTTTGATTCTATTACATATTAGTTTCTCAATTCAAGATAAGGTTTAACTTTTTAGATTAGTACAGTTAATCTGGGTCTGGTTTGACGGCTCTGCTTTATTTGACATACCAACTCTATATCATGTCATTTGTGTGCCTGTTTTAAATCACTGGTTTGCCTTCAATATATATATATATATATATATATATATATATATATATATATATATATATATATATATATATATATTCTTTTTTTTTGGGAGTACCTTACGAGTTAAGAGTGGGTTTACCAAGAATTCTAGGAACTTATTGCCTAGGCTATTCTGTGATGGAACAAAATAAAAAGGGAAATCTGAAAATTAAATAAAAAAACACAGCAAAGTTTAAATTACGTGTTCAACAAATAAATCTATAAAAATTAAAGCAATCAGTTTTTTGAGAATCAATGAGTTATATACTTCCCAAATCTTTTTTATTTTTTATTTTTTATTTTTTATTTTTTTTTCAAATGAAAATTAACATTAATTCACATACTTCCTCCGCTTTTTAATACTTGCAACACACATTTTTTCGGTATTTAAGAAAAGTGGGTCTCGCATGTTTTAACACACTTCCTCCGCCATTAGCTTTAAACCTACTCGAATTTACACCGAATTGAATTGCGCGCTTAGCAGCTGTCATTGAAGAATTAAACGAGCTTGAGCAACAAGAAATTGCAGGATTTTTAAGCGAGGAATTCCACCATTTTCTTGAAAATTGAATCGGAAAAATGAAGAAGAAAGTGGCGGGAGACGAAGGGAGAAAAAAAGAGGAGAGAGAAAGAAATGGAGGAGGAAAAAGGGCGGCCTATAAAATGGGAAGTTTCAGGGAAGATATTTAGCGAGATAAGGGTAATAGTACAACTTCTACCACAAAATACTATCCAATTATAGTGTGTTGCAAGTATTGTGACATTTCCATTTTAGGTAAGTGTCGCAAGTATTAAAAAACAGAGGAAGTATATAAGCTTCCACACATAATCGAAAAAGTTAGCACTCTAGCAGGGGGGAAAATAACTATGGATTGAAAAAAGAGTTCACTAAGAGAAAATAAATCACCCTTGATGTTAAACTTATTAAGAGAGAACAGAGGTCGGAGAGAAGGAATGGAGGATTCAATTCAGCTTAGAGGAGGTGTTCAGCTGTTGTGGTGGTCCTGTGGACTAGTATGCCAATCCTTTTTTGGAACAAAGAAGCGAGAGGACAAAGATGAGAGAGAGAATGAGCCTAACCCTAACAAGCCACTAAGGAAAGTGCCCTTTAGTTGGTGGGGATGCTCATATAATTTAATTTATGTCCCCAATCCACATTCCAGCCATTTCTGTTAAATTCGTCTGTCCCTGAATATCTAAAGAGGGAGGGGCTATTAGGGTGTTCACTGTTCAGTCTTATCCCTTTCACTGTGGTGTTTCTGGTGGATCTGGATTTGACATGGCTTGCTAAGTCTACCAAGTTTGTGATGCAATTGACTCTCAAATATTTGAAAAAAGGAGTGAGTTTTACTGCCTATGTTTTTTGTTTTTTTTCCCCCCTTTTATGGTGATGGGTTGGGTGTTGGATCAATATTAAATCATAACCTTCACCATGGACTCATGAAATAGCTTTTAGTACTCTACATTTATTTTTTTTGATTGTTGTACGGGGTGAGGGTATTCATTTGAATGGTGATGTGACTATGGCTTCAATAGGGTATTAGCATGAATAGCTTGGGGAAGAAATCCACTTCAACAAATAGTAATGTCTTGGATGTTTTTGGATAGGGAAACAAGGGAAGGAATAAAGAAACGGGAAATCAATTTTTATGTTCGGTTAACCAGGGAATGAAAGTCAAATCTCTTATATGATGTTTGTTACACATTACTAGATAATGGGTTTTTAAACCCTCAAAGGTTTCTGCCACCATTTCTCATCTCTAAACACTCTTAAGTTGCTCAACTTCTTTCATTTCATCGCCCTACCCCCCTTCTGCTATCTTATTCATCCTTATGTTTGGCACCATCAACCACCATCACCAAATTTTCACTAACGCCTTGAGCATTATGGGCTAGACTTGATTCTTTGGTGGTTGAAAATTTGAAATTGGCTAACATTTCCAAATCCGGAACTTGACTCTCAATTCCATCCCACCAATAGACGAAAGGAAGTTAGTGGAATATTGAACTCTCTTAGTGGGGATTGGAAGCATGTTCTACGGTAAGGGATGATTTGGTGGTAGTATTTCCGGTAGTGGCGAAGTACAGGTGGTGGCCATGATGGTTTATTTTGGTTTGGGTTGTTATTGTGATTTGTAGTTTTATCTTTGATGGTGGGTTTTGTTGAAGTTGATATTGGCTGTGGATATGATATAGCACCTAAAGGGTGTCATATGTAGGTTGGGGGAGGTTGTGTTTGTCAGTAATGGTGGAAGTGTGTGTGGTTGTGGTTGCTAGTAGGTGTTGTGGATTTTCGAAAGCTGAAAAATGTTAAATTAATCACTGCTGAAGGGAAACAGCCAAACAGGGGAGATATTTTATTTTCCCTTTTTAGAAATTTTCCAACCAAATAGTTCTTTATTTTTATGACATATTACGCACAAGGCTACATCTTAGAAATTAGATCTTTGGGGGTTTCGATGTAAACCTTTTCTCCTTACCTTAGGACATGCTTTATAGTTTGCAGTATAGCCACCCTTTATATTCTTTGTGATGTTAGTTATCCAGTTGTGTATATAAATGAGTGCAAATGAAGTTATTAGATTGCTTGCTTCTTTTCTCCTGGCCTGTTTTTTCTGAATTCTGTCAGCTTCATAATAATGTATGCATTCTGAATTCTCTTTAAAATTTGAACACTATTTCAGGCAAAAGCTCTTATTGCAAAGCTGACCGAGGAGAAAAATTCCGCAATTCATCATAATAACAAACTCCGACAGGAATTGGTGAGAGCTTTACTGGTTGTCTAATTTGTTTACCACTTTCTTTTATAAAGTTGGCCAAGCAGCTTTCGAAACCTTGGTACATGTCAATTCTTCTGCATGAGAATGAGACATTCTGTGAGATCTAGCTGAAATCTCTTACCAAAAATTCTGACACTTCTTATAAAAACAGTATGTCTTTAAAGCTTTTAGACGTCTAGCTGAAGTTGTTTGGTTTACTGGACATATTGCTTCACCAATTTAATTTATTTGGCAACTTTTGAGAGGCTTTAATGGCTCTGAAATTTATATTTCATGGAAAAAATGGGTGATATATACTGTGAGCATTTTTAATTTAATTCTGTAATAAAGAATTGGCGGATCTCTATATTTAGTGTATGTAGTGTCGTAGTGATGTGGTTGAATCCGTGTTCCTGCCCATCATGCATCCATGCCTGCATTAACTGGTTGAATCAGCGTGTTTGGTTTTCATATTTGTAAGGGGGTAGAGCCCACCAACACCAGAGGCCCAGAGCTAAAAGGATGGATGGTGGTGAGCTAAATTAGTTACATATGACAATCACCCTCTCATTACATATAATAGCTACTGACAAGGTCAAAATGTCAATGATCTGTACTAGGCTGAAAAAGAATATTGAATTTGGGTCAGCATGTCCTAAAGAGTTCTCTTGTCCATTCTTGCTGGACTTCAACTCTCATGTTCACTCTTTTTCTTACCTATCATAAAAGGAGAAAGGAAAAGAAAAGAAAAGAAAAGAAAGATGACTTGCTGGAGTTGCAACTCTAATCTCTCTTGATTGGTTTTGATGTAGTTTTAGGAAAATTTTGGTGCCTTTCATTTTTTAATACTAGTATATACTTCGTATGTAGTACTTCCCTACTTTGTAGTATTTTCTTATGTGCTGCTTATACAAATTCCTATGATAATAATACAAACAATATGCAGGAGCTTTTGAGGCGAGAAGCTAGCAAAAGCCAAGGTGGAGTTTCATTTATGCTTGTGATATTAATCGGTTTAATTGGAGTAATTTTGGGTTATATCATGAAGAAGGCATGAAGAAGCTAGGAATGCCGGTTACCTTTTATCCCGTTACTGTTACTGTATTATTTACACCAGTAATTAGAGAAACGGATAAACGTGATGGTGCTAGCTATCTATGCAGAAGGGGAAAAAGGTTGTTTAGGCAGTGTTCATGTGTTTGTAGTTAACTGATTCACTAGTATTGATGGAACATATTGAGATTTTTTTATTTATTTTCCTGGGTTTGAGACCATTGATGTTTTTGTTGCAACATCATTCTTTGCTAATTTAACAACTCTGTACTATTTCTTTTTTAGCCTTTCGGTTCACCATAACAGTTTAGTCAGTCATATTTGTGTACGTATGAAAAGAGCTACCTGTTACGTGCTGTATCTAGAAGAATGTTTACCCCTTGTTATTCATTTAATCTTACGATTCTTGTGCATGAAGTAAAGATTCAGTTGATCTTTTCCTTGATTTTGTAAATAGGGTTACAATTCTTTCTTTTATATTATTGTTTTTCCTAATTTTAATCTGCAAAATACATATAGCTTTCAGGATATGGCTTTGGACCAAAACAAAACAAAACAAAGAATATGTATGAATTCGTGTGAAGAAGGGGATAACTCATACAAGGAATTTACTGAAGTCACCTATTAATTTTAGCTATGATCTCCTGCTTATGCCTTTGTACTGTCTTATGACCAAATCAATCTTGATATCAATATTAGTCTCAACTAACAAGCAACGCTATGTGCACCAACGTTTAGGAGAGTGATCAATCTTAGTATCAACTATCAACTGTAGTGTTTTACCTTGTTTAGTAACTATTAGTCACTAATTCTACCAAACTTGCTTGGGCAGCTTGACTTAGTATTTAGTGTTGATGAGTTGGATTCATCAAGGGTGATTTTGACCGGTTCTACTCGGGTTGTATTATAGAGTTATTCAACTTGTTGAAAAAAGCTTCACGGGTTTGTTTTGTTTATTTTTATAAATTTTCAGATTAATAATGTGAGTAAAAGAAAAAAAAAATTACTTATTTTGATGCTTTAGTCTTGATTTTCCATAAGCCCATACTAATTGTTTCTAATGTTGTCATTTTAATAATAAAAAAAATTACGTAATGCTATAGCTTATGTCAATTGTCAATTGGAAAGAACAAAAAAAAAAAAAAAAAAACTTTTAATATTGGTGATCAATAGTATTACTAGATAATTAAATAGTAGTATCAAACATTCAGTGGTAATAACTACGTTTAGAAATAATATCACTATACAGTCAATGATATTATATAAACTTTCAGTTGTGCATGTAAAAATGATTCCACTTGCCAATCTCTCTCTTCCTCATGTGCTTTTCAATATTTTAATATTTGATATACATTTGCAAATGTATCAAATCTACCTTAGTACTTCCTGGGGGAAGATATTTTTGCATATAAGCTTGGGGAAAAAGAAACCGAGAGACCGTTGTTAACGGGAATTAGAAAAAAAAAAGGAAAAAAAAAGGGTTGTGTAGAAGCTTCTCCAGGCTACTTCCAGTCTCCCAGAAACACATACAAGCACTTGGCAAGTGTGTAGAAGCTTCGATACAATTCTTGGTTGTTCTAATCCACCGCCTTCTGTTGGCTATATGACCACAGTCCACATTGGTAGAAGTCACTTTCCAAATCAATTGTTGCAGATACAGTAATACTCACAAATCATCCTCTATTTTCTAATTTTGTCATGGCGTCTTTGGCTCTCCGACGACTCGCCGGCAGGAACTTAGCTTCCGGCAGTATTTTCCGACCACTTTCCGTGAGTCGGTCCTTTAATACCAATGCTCAGATGGCCAGAGTTGATCACGATCACGACCTTGAAGATCGCTCTGACCGTGCTCCTGTCTCACGCCGTCGTGACTTTCCTGCTTCCTTTTTCTCAGGTATCTTTCTTAATTCTTACTCTCTCTCTGATTTTCTTTAAAAATTAATTTGAAAAATAAGAATCGGAATGTGGTACATTACATTATAGATGTTTTAGATCCATTCGCGCCAACAAGGAGTGTGGGGCGGCTGATGAACCTGATGGATCAGCTGATGGAGAATCCATTCAGAGGCATTGGAAGTGGAGGAGCTACGAGAAGAGGTTGGGATGTTCGAGAAGATGAAGAAGCTCTTCAATTGAAGGTTGATATGCCTGGTTTGGCCAAAGAAGATGTCAAGGTTTCTGTGGAAGATAACACCCTGATCATCAAAGGTGAGGCCGAGAAAGAGACGGAGGAAGAAGAGCAGCGTCGGAGGTACTCTAGCAGGATTGAATTGACTCCAAACCTCTACAAGATCGATGGTATCAAGGCTGAGATGAAGAATGGTGTGCTCAAAGTTATTGTTCCTAAACTCAAGGAAGAAGAGAAAAAGGATGTTTTCAATGTTATGGTTGATTAATGTGTTGGATAGTGTTATGAGCTACTATGTCGTCTAGTCTTGTTAAGGGTTGACTTTTGGTACTTTATGCAATCCTCCTGTAGTTTCTTCCCAATAAATTCAATAATCCATGTTAATATGTTACAGCTTTTACTTTTATAAATTTCAGTAACTTATTATTGTATAATGATCCTTATTTTTGATATATAGCAAATTTTGAACATTCATACAGACTGATCAAATTTATGGAATTGAAGTGAATATCTCATTTCGAAATTTGTCGTTGGCGTATATAATTTTAAACTGAAAAAGTAGTTTAAAAAACAACATAATCCTCTCAAATAACTTATCAATCTCTATTCTCTATTGAAAAATTAGACCATCTATTTTTATTTAAAAAAATTGAAATGTTATTGTTTTTTCAACATAAATATACATAAACCCACACCTAATAATAAAAAATCTAAACTAGATGATGCAAATTTTTGGATGTGGATATCTCTAATACCCTAAAGATCATAAAAAGTACTTCGACTTCTAACTTAGTAGTGCTTGGCTAAAAATCTAACTTAGTAGTGCTTGGCTAAAAATCTAACTTAGTAGTGCTTGGCTAAAAATCTAAAATAGATGATGCAAATTTTTGGATGTTTGTAAATACGAAGTATCTAAATTTAAAGGTTAGACTCGAAAAATGTTGAGTAGACCTAAATTAATAAAATAAATGTCTAGGTTCTAATATAACGTGTTTATATAAGAGTGTCAACAAAAATTGAAACCTTAGGGTAATGTAGATTTACTTGTTTACTTTAAACATATGCAATTCTTAACGCTGTATTGCAAATTTACAATACACTGTTAGATATTAGGTCTCGAACTCTCCAAAAATGGTTAAATTTCGTGAATCATAACCTTTAAATTTTGCCTTTAAAAACATTTACAAACTTGATTTTTATAGTTTCAAACCTAATTTTATAACCCTTAGTTCAAACCTAATTTTATAACCCTTAGTTCAAACCTAATTTTATAACCTTGAGGGAACCATTCACTTTTTTCTTTCTCTTTTTTTTTTTTTTTTTTTTTTTGTAATTTTTTTTTAACAGTGGTCTAAAATGTGTGGATTATAGTTTTCACTTTTGGATAATTTTTGACTTTTTAAGTTCCAGAAATTATAGAGGTTGTGGTGATTTATATGGGATTCACAAAATCCTGTTAAAATGGTCCTATTTTGTGAATTATAACCTTCAATTTAGATTTCATAGGTTGTTTTTTAAATTCAACAAAGTAGCGTCGAGGTTTTTTCTAATACCTTATAACAGAAACCTGTGATATAAAGTTGGTGATTAGAATCATATCTTATTCTCTTCCAGACTTACAGTTGTTGACTATCAATAATAATAAAACCACTAAAACCAAATTCATTCCAATAACATGAATTATAATCTTTCACTTTTGGATAATTTTTAACTTATTCATGTCCAGGAAATAAAGAGGTCGGAATGATTTGAGCAATTTTGGGTTGGATTGGAACCATCAAATTTGCTTGTAAATTGGGTTGGGTCGAAATGTACTGAGCAGAAAATGAGTAGGGAGTAGTATGACATGTATACCCCTGATAGTAGCAGAGTGCAGGTGGCAGCTGGCATTACCCCTGAGCCCTGCCCTGTTTTATTCATTAATATTCCCTCAGATGAGAGATCAACTCATCATTTATTTATTTATATGTCATTTTGTCATCATACAACACGCAAACACTCACTCTACTACTCTACCCTCTCTACTCCACTTTTCCACGCCACCCTTTATCAGTCAGTAATGGCAGCTGCTCCGTCTTTTTCTTCTTCCTCCTCTCTCTCTTCTGGTTGCTACTCCATCCCCATTCTATTTTCTAAATTTATTACTAATTTTTGTTCAAAATAAATAAATAGAATAATGAAATTGTGATGTTTTGTTTTGCAGAGGAAGAGGTGAAGCTTCATCCTTACCAGAAGCGTGGTCCCAAGGGAGCCTACGAGGCTAAACAGGTCAACGGCACCTGGACCAACGGTCAGAGTTGCCGTGGATTGTACGTTAGGGTGGACATGCCTGGTGTCCCCGAAAGCGGCGGCGTTAAGATATGCAAGTACTCCGACAGCCGCACCGTTACCTTCACCTGAAAAGCAGCGATGGTGTGGCCCCAATTTGATACATCAGACAGGGTTTATGGTGGTTATGTTATACTTGACAGAGACCCAACACTTGTTAGTGTGCAATCTCAACTTAAGAATGGCACACTCCATTTGTTCTTCCCTAACTCTGATGGCTCCCTTCATTTTCTCTCTCCTCCTCCTAACTCTTGTCTTCCTCTCCAACCCCAACAATATGATGATGATACTGGTAATTTTTTTCCTTTTTTCATTTCTTCATGCAACGCATTTATAAAGTTGTAATCTTTTTTAATTTTATTATGCAGTTGAATTCATTGAGCTCTTAGGGGAGCGCTTTATTACCTACATTGAACACGGCCCTGAAGAACCTTCTGGTTATTAATCACTTGTCAATCTCTTTATTTTGTTGAGCAAGACAAGAAAGCCTCATATTAGTATTAGCAAGTAATTTCTAATATTCATTGGCTTATTTTTTTTTACTTATTATTAGGGATAAAATTGAGGGGAGGTAGGCCCGAGCACATCAACTGGCATCTGCTAAGCGGGGTTAAAGGGGTGTATGAGCACAAAATTGTTAGTGTTGGTAACAATCAGCATCTGATTTATGTCCGATTGGATGTTCCAATGGTGAACTACCAATTATTCTGCATCACTGAGAACGCGGACAGAAGCATCACCTTCGCCGTTGATGCTGCTCAAAAAGACTCCATGTTCGACGAGGGTTGCCGTGGCAACATTGGTTCCTTGATTCCTAAATGTGAATGCTGCCAGTACCAGATTGTTCAGCACGACATCAGAGATGGCGTCATTAGGTTTATAGCTTCCAAGAGCTCTTCTGTGAATCCTCCTTCCAATATTCATTTATATGAACCTCCTTCCAAGCCCGGTGAAGCTCCCAAGCCAGTAGTATATCGTAACATCGAGGTGGTCATGGATAAGCTGCCGCGACGTTCCAGCCAGTGTAGGAAGTAGCAGCGAGTATTGGTTGGCCTTGTGGTTGCTAGACTAAAATCAATACGTACCTAACCTTGCATTATGGTCTTAGTTGTAGGTTGATTATCTATTATTATGACATGAATTAGCTAGTACTAGTGTGCTTTATGTGCTTGTTTGAGTTTCGTATCAAGCAAGCTCGGAGTAGTGGTTTTTTCAGGGTAGTATAATGCCTCTTCCGCTCTTCCAGTAATATATATCATCATATGATGTTCTAAGATTTTAGATACAGTAATATTGTAAACTCAGTTTATTTAGTAAAACTTAATAGGTATTAGATGGTTATCATATGATATTGACTACCTTGTATGTTGATTGATTTGTTGTTCAAATTATTTATTTCAATACTTCTGAATAAGATTAATGAAAAATGAATGAATCAACGAGTTAACATTAGATAAATTTCATGACTAAGCTAGTGCCATAGTAATTGAGATCATATTTGTAAAGAGACTTTTGAGTACTTCACTTTCACCAAATCTCTGTCAATGATGGGGATTGTAGCTATGTTGCTTACCTTATGCAGTGTACAGTGGTTAATTACTCCGAATTACGAACAGTGTTATAGGGAATCCTTAAGTGAAACAATAAAATCTGCTCAGTATAAAACTTTGAAAATGAAAGATTACTGCCCACTTTGAAATTACCAATCAGTAAAACCACTTCTAAAAAATCTTTTTTAAGCATTTTGGACCGACTTTAAAAATGAAACAAAATTTGCACAAATTTGGAAACATCTAATTCTTGGCAGTCAATAGATAGTACTAATGATGGAATTTGTTATATATATGCGGTGCACCATACACCCAACTAATCCAAGGTTGGTTTTTGCTTTTCATTTGATAATTAAATGAAAAACAATCATCAAAATGAGAACAAAATACTCAGAGTGTACGGTATACCTGGATGTATATAACAATTTCTCTATTAATGATGCCATGTTATTTCTAATTTGCTATCTCAGCTAGCCTCTTAAAAATAGTGCGTGCTTCTTTCTACCCGTGCCTACTCTCTATTCCCTCCATTTCATAATGATGTTTCTGTTTACGTAAATTGATTCAAGGTTTTGTTAATCTTTAATTGCAAATATCTTTAATCTCAAATTAGCAAAAATTATAAGTTACTTCCTTTGTCCCCATTTTTTCTTGTCTCATTGCAAATAAATGGGTCAAACTTTAAAAACTTTGACCATAAATTCCCATTATTCAACAAGAGATAATATAATTAGGTGGAATTTTGTTAAATTCGTCTCATTGTATAATAATATCAATTATTTATAATTTTTACGCGTATAGAAATGAAGTTATATTTGTTTTAAAATACGTCTTGGAGACCATGAAAAGTCAAATAGGACAATTAAATAGGAACAAAGGGAGTAGATGTTAATAATGTACTCACTAAGACGAATCAAACTAGGCCAAATATGACTATATTTGTTCTTATAGATTGAGAAAAATTTAGAAAATTCTCTTTTATTTTAAAAAGTCAAAAGATTTCAAATGAGAATATCATGGTGAAACAGAGGGAGTAGTACATAGCAATAGTATGGCTACTTCTCTGCTAAAACTTTAAGCTATCAAATTTAAGCTGAGAGAAAGAGAAAAAAACAAAGAGTTTAGGCAAGCATGATAATTAAAAGCTACTCGAGTTCATTTCATACATACAAGCTTTGGTAAGTTAAATTTAAGAAAAATAAGCTCAAATAAATTATGTTCTTTAAGAAATTTCAATGTAAAGCTCAATGTTAATAAGTTACAAACAAATTAGGAAAAATCAAGCATTGTAACTAAACCTGGGCACCGTGCCGGGCCGTGCCTGGCGGGCCACGGGCTGGTTCGTGTCGTGCCGGTTGTGCCGGCGGGCCCAGGATTTCGTGCCGGCCATTTTCACAGGCCAGCCCACGGCACGGCACGGCCCTCGTGCCTGGCGGGCTCGTGCCGTGCCGGCCACGTGCCGGCCTGCGGGCTGGCAGCGGGCTGGTGCAGTTTTCAAATAATTTTTTTTTTTTTTATATGACAACATTATAAATTAATAAGTTTATAATGTATATAAGTTATAAAATTATAATTATAAGTTTTATAAGGTTATAACTTATAAGTTTATAACTTATAAGTTATTAAGTTATGAATTTTATAATTATAAGTTGAATATTTATGTTTTATAATTTGTATATTCAATATTTATATTTATATATTTACTTTATACTATTACTTTAAAATTTAATGTTTATGATTTATTAGTAATTGGTATAATTTTATTTTTTTTTTAATATGAATTTACAAATTGTAACAAAACGGGGAAAAAAGGCAAATTGGACTTTGGATGTGAATAATGCGTACTTTATTATATTATTACTTGAGTTGAGAAAATTGTACAATGATAACAATGATAAAAATCATACAATGATGGTATTAAACAAAAATTGGAAAATGATAAAATTGATATTTTTAAAATCGTACAATATACAATAATTGTCTATTCTTCTTCTCCTTCTTCTTGCTCGTCTTCGTCTTCGTTTTCGTCTTCGCCTTCGCCTTCAAGGTCATCGGCTAGTTGCATAGATTGGGAACTAGCCGAACCCGAACCGGAAGCGGAGGTTCCTTCTTCGTTGTCGTTGTGGTCGTAAGAACGGTCTTGTGAGCGATTTTCCGCATCCAACCAATCTTTGAAACACACGCACATTTCTAGTGTTTCGGGTTTTAGACTTGTTCTTCTATCGTCTAAAACCCTTCCGGATCCGCTGAAAGCTCATTCGGAGGCGACGGAGGAAACTTGGATAGCAAGAATGTCTCGTGCCATTGTCGCCAAAGTTGGATGCTTCGAGCTTTGTTGTTTCCACCATGCAAGGAGGTCGAGGCTGTTTATCTCATCGTCGTCCATGCCTTTGGTGAAGTCGTAACTCAGGTACATCTGCAACTCCGAGACGTCGCTTTGCGTTCTCCTGATTGATGAATCACCTGAAAACCTTGAAATCAAGTTAGTAGCTTGTGAAAATAAATGTTTGGCCTTCTTACTTACGTTTTTGGATGGTTAGGAAGGCCCTGAGCGAGGAACGGTGCCATATTTGGCTTCATAGACTCTATATAAAGCAAAAAACTGATCCTTCACATTAGTCTTATAGTTTTCTACATCATCGTCAAGAAACATGCATTGAAAGTAAATGTCAACTAACATAAATGTGTTTTCATACTTTTGCCTAGGATCTAATATGGAAGCAAAAATATAAATCAAAGGAATCTCACTATAATATTTACGCCACTTTTTTTCCATTGCTGGAAGATACTGATCATAATCACTTTGATGGCGATGATCAGCGAAAAGTTGGGCGAGTAAGCATGCATTAGAAAGAAAGTTTTGAGCACAAGGATTGTAAACAGTAGAAAAACAATACGTCATGTTATATAATAACTGTAAAAATTGCATATATCTTTCACAGTTATTCCAATCATCATCATACAAAGCATTTTGTGGAAATTTTTGGTTGTAAAATAATGTTAACGGGCCCTTGTACTCAATTGCCTTTGTTAACATGTCATAGGTGGAATTCCACCTAGTTGGGCAATCGATTCTAATTTTTATTACCCTTATCTTTTGTTGTTTTAGAAAACTCTTCCATTCTTGGTATCTCATGTTAGAGCTATTAATAGACATAATAGCATCTCTGATTTTGCTGTAGTATGGGTCAATTGCCCGAACTCCATCCTGTACACATAAGTTAAGTACATGGCAAACACATCTAGTATGAAGAGCTTCACCGTCTAATAGTACATCGGTTAAGTTTTGTTTGATAAGATTACCTGTGTATGTCATAGAGGTTGCATTATCAAAAGTCATAGACATCATTTTATCTCGAAGGTTGTATTCGTCTATTGCTTGCATTAAATGGTGAGCAATGTTAATGCCGGTGTGTGGGTATTCCAGCATTTTGAAATGTATTATTCTTTTTTGTAACATCCATTGATCATCTACCCAATGGCAAGTCACACATAAATAGTGATATTTATAACCACTATCCCAAGAATCGGCTGTTAAAGATACTCTACAGTTAAGGTTACTCAATTCGGCTTGTAACCGGACTTTGTACTCTAGGAAATTTTTCATTGCGGCGGAACGAACGGTTTTCCTAGAGATTCTTTTATGTTGGGGTTGTAGTGCTTTGTTAATGTAGGTGTTGAATGCGTCACTTTTCGAGAAAAGAAAAGGTTGTTCGGCGTGTACTATCATTTTTCCTAGTTCATCCCTATCCCTCTCATAGTTGTATGTAAAGCCGTATGGATGGAATTGGGAAATTTTGGGCTGGGTTGGATCACTAGCTGGTTTTGCACAAGCTTTCATGTGTCTAGATAAGTGTCCCGTCCCGTTTTTGGTAACTGCCGTGAATACACTATTACATGTTTTACATTTTGCCCATTGTTCACCATCTTTACTTAGGACAAAATAACGCCATACCTCACTCCTTCGGTTTTTCAAAAGTAGCATCTCAGTTTCGGTTAACCATTCATGATGTGTGTGATGGTTAGTAGTGGGACTAGTGGGAGTGGCAGTAGAAGGGGTAGAACCGGAGGGAATTCGGGTACTTTCTTGGCTACCTTGGCTAGAACAATAGTTTTGTTGATCACCGATATAATTAGGTGGAAATTGGTATGGTGGTAGTGGAAATTGGTTTAGTGGTGGTGCTGGAAATCCCGACGTATTATATGGCTCATAGCCCGGGGGGAAGTAAATGGGGTCATTGGTTTGACTCGTAATTTGGGGGCTCGTTGTATTTGGTGGTTCCCTAGAACTACTACTACGGATAAGTCGGCCTTTCCCCCTAGACCTAGATGATGGGTTGTTCGATGCCATAATTAACAATTAATTTTTTAATAAAAAGTGGTTAACTATAATAATAATAATTAATAACAACAATTTTAACGATAAAAATATCAATAATAATAATTAATAACAACTATAACAATAACAACAAAAATAAATAATAACAACAATTGTAACAATAATAATAATTAATAACAATTATAACAACAACAATAACAATTAACAATAATAATTAAACAAGATTATTCTAATAATAACAATAAAACAATAATAAATTTAAGATTAGTTTAGATCTTACAACCGTGCTTCAACGCTCCACTAATTATGATTACGAACTTTTTAATTTTTTCCGATATTAGGAAAATAATTAGAGAATTTAAGAGCAAAATTAGAGAATTTAAGAAAATAAGGATTATTAGAGATTTAGAGAATATAAGAGATAAGAAGAAGAGATTGTGATTTTGTGATTTGGGAATGAAATGGAGGTGAGTATTTATAGAATTTTTGGGGAGCAAATTGGCAAAAAACTAGCCGTTTTTTAGCCGTTTTTTTGGCTTATTAAGGAGCTAGAATAAACGGTAATATTACCGTTGGCCCGCGGGCCGTGCCTACGGGCCGACACGACGGGCCGGCACGGCGGGCCATGGTCGTGCTCGTGCCGTGCTTGAATTCGGGCCGTGCCGGGCTGCGCCGAACGGCGGGCCGTGCCGGGCGGCACGCGGGCCAACCTGGCCCGTGCCCAGGTTTATTGTAACATAGGACAGGGGGAATTACGTTATAAGATCCTTGGGAAAAATAAAGAGCAAGAGAAGGAAATAAAAAAAAGCGCTACTTTGAGAACTTTCTAGGGCTAAAAACAAGTTATTTTTGCATTTTGACAATAGGAATTAAACCAAATCTATATAATCCCGCAATATGTTGGATGAATGCAATTGCATAAAAGGCAGCAGGAACAATACAGTTCTTGGGCATCCTTTTACATAAAGCATTACTACCACATAAGCGTAATTAACTACAGCATGTACCCCACAGGTATTTGAGAGCAGAACAATTAACAACAAAAAACCTACTTCAGTTGAACATCCCAGAACTAAATGGATACTGAAGAAAAAGTAGGCAACCAAACCTTGGGGGACAATATACATAACAACATCGAGAAGCTAGACATCACTCATCATCCTTGTATGGGTATTCTTCTGGAATTTGCTTGAGAAGTTTGACTTGCAGTTCATAAGCATCATCCCCACGAAGCATATCACGAATCCATGTAACTTCTGTCTTCATTGATACCTAAATATACAGGTGAAGGGGATGATGTACTAATTATATGAAGGAATGTAGCCCAAAAGATAAATATTGCAACGAGGACTCTGTAGGAAGGTTAACTTTCATTCATTCCTTTCCAGAAGATGAAAGTTGCATATACAATTGGAAACATAGATGAAAAATTTAACCGTAAAGTGACAGCAAACTCACAGGCATGCTCCACAAGATAAAAATATATTACACCCCCCTTCCCCCCGGGACAACGTAAAACAAATGGGCTTGAGAAAAATGCTTTAATGGTGGTGATGAGAGGAGCTTCAAGTAAGAACTCCTCCACAAACAAAAGGAAAAAAAGAAAAAAAAAAAAAAAAGAAAGAAAGATATAGGGAAACAGATAGTATTAGCTAGATCTCTTCAAGAAACCTATACAGGCAGCTGATGAGGCCAGAAATCTAGATATAACTCTATCAGCTTATAATGCCAATCTGAAAATAAGATTTCAGTAGCACACTCTGCTTCAATATGGAAACAAGTACTCCATTAATATTACAAGGGAAAAAAAAAAAAAAAAAACTAGCATTAAATAGCAAGTGCTCACCATCTCCAGCGCTCCTCTGACCACACCATTTAAAACATTGCAATAGTGAAGGCCTTGGCACGTGTCAGGAAGCTCAACAAAATCTACCAAAGGGTTGTCCTCCAAGACAAGGCTGCAAGTTGTTCCCTCAGCATCCCAATTAGTGACTGTTGCACTCACCCCCAGAAACATTTTAAAGCCAACCTGTTCGCATGCCATAAAATCTGTTAGAAAGTCTTCAAAAAGCACCTATAAACCACAATAACACAAAATAAAGTATATTTTCTTTCTAAAATTATAGAAGATAATGGTGTACCTGTATGCTGTTCAATAACCATATTTTTGTTCCAAGCACATAGGATAATGAACAACATAGAAAACACTATCTTACAAAGCCATCAGCTAATATGCTATTAGATAAGACTAGCTTTTAAACAATCATCACATTAAACAGGGCTTATCATAGCATGACAATAACTCAAGTCACAGACAGATACCAACTTCAAAACTTTGAAAGCTTCTCTTATAATAAGCATCATTAGAATAACAATAATCCGTCTCTAAGGAGGCTAAACATAATCATAGCTTGTAGGTTTTTTATTCTCTCTTAATCTCTCACTCCCTCTCTCAAATGACTTAGACAAGAGTGAGATATTATTCATATTTAATTAAAAACAATCGAACAACTGTGTTATTTGCACAATTAAAATAAGAAAAATTCAGAACAGGAGTTCACTAGACTGACCTGATTTCACCATTTAGCTAAAAAGAAACAAGATAGAATTAATTGGTTTTAATTACCTTAGTTGTACAAAAACATGTCACACATTTGTGGTTTACTAGTTTATAAGCTTAAAATTACTGATACACACAAATGTAGCTTAATTTTACTGATATAAAATTACTATAGGAGTCATAACTCAAAGAAACACCAATTGAGGGGAAAATTTATTCTCTGTCGTATGTCAGAATCAAGGAATACTAGCTGATTCAGTTGAGGAATACTGGAACAATAGTCATCTAACTGAGACAGATAAACTGCTGTAATCAATAGATGACTAAGATAGGTAACCGACAAGCCAGAATGCACTCCAAATTTGCATGTAGACAAGAATAAGAAATACAGCACGAAATATAACCTTTGCAATTACTTCAGCAGTTTCCTTGAAGTCCACACATCTAGAGACATTGGATTTTGCTAGGAACTCATCAATCAATCGCACACCAATATTATAACCCCTACAAGAAAATTGAACATCAAATAAACAATTACAGGTTGAGACACAACAGATAATTAATGTGCAGCAACATGTGTTTCAGCAATGTAAAACCAATGCAAGAAAAGGGAAGACACGACCCATAATGGATTTTTAGTTACAGCATGTTTATTAGCTACGAAGAATTTTTAAAATAGAAATTCTGCTAAGTTTGGACGCTTGAAAATGCACAAATATTCCTACACTTACATGAAAAAGCAAGACTTCATATCGACATGTAAAAAAAAGACCTAATTAATTGTCTAGTATCTATCACCTGTAACGAATACCATGAGAAAAACTGATCACATACGCTAGAAGGGGCAGGAAAGGACAAGGAGGGCTGTCAAGGGAAGGAGTAGTGGAGCAGCCTCCAAATCAGTGAGCAGCCAAGGCAGGACTGCTGTGGTGGGTTGGTAGCATATTATAGTGTGACAGCTGCCACCTTGCTTTGTCATTATCTTATTTTAGCAGATTATGTATATATAAAAAGGGGCAGTAGGAGAGTGCTTAGCTAGCTTGAGTATTGTAGTCATTTGGGTGTAGAGATTTGTGTCCTAAAGGCACTAGGGAGAGTGGTGGCCTCAAGCCTCCTTGTAAGAAAGTTTTGATCTTTATTAATGAAATAGCTGCCTTCTTCTCTAAATCTGTCCATTGTTTGCTTTTGTGTGAATTTCTCTACTTAGCTGCACTAGTTCGTTACAAATTAGTATTAGAGTGGCGGTCCTACGACTGCCGGTGCCGGAAACCACCACACCCTTCCGTTCAAAAAAATAAATAAAAAGGTTCTCATTGGAGGAGAGGATGGCCGGAGTAGAAAATCAGTTGGAGACGGAAACAACGATGAAGACTCAAGAGGAGACTCTCAAGAAGTCATTGGAGGAAGCCGTTCAGAAAATCGAAGGTTGTTTTGAGCTATTCCGTCAACAGCAAGGCACAAATGACGGTGAACAACACAACCCAAGCTGAACTCCGCAACCTCATAACCCAGAGGAACCATGACCAAGAACAAGGGCCACCGTTCAACAACAGAATGAGAGGCTGGCAAGACCCGAAGGCCGCGGCGGCGGGGGTTACAGGTGGAAACCTACAAAATTGGAGATGCCAATTTTCGAGGGTTTCGATCCTTACGGATGGATACTTCGAGGGGAGAAATATTTTCAGCACTACCAACTCACGGGGGACCAGAAATTGCAAGCCGCTGTGGTGGCCATGGAAGGAGACGCCTTGCGGTGGTTTCAATGGGAAAACCGCAACAGGCCAATACCATGGTGGGATAATCTCAAGGCCAGAGTTTTGCGTCAATTCCGGCCGACCCACGCCGAAAGCCTCCATGAGCAGTGGCAGGCAATAAAGCAAGAGACGACGGTTCTTGAATATCGTAAGAAATTGGAGGATATACTAGAGACAATCATGTTGGGCCACTTCATTAATGGGCTTACGGCTGAAGTAAGGTTAATGAACTCGTATAACTTAGAGCAAGCCATGGAAGTTGCGGGTCGGGTAGAAGAGAGAACCCAGGTTGGCGGGTTTAAAAAAAGACCCAACTTGTATGGATCTGGGAAGTCCATAGTGGGTATGAGTGGTGTTAAGCTGCGAAGTGGGCTTGGCCTAATTAGCACATATGGGACGCCATCTCAACAAACGTCCAGTTTCAAGGCCAAAAGCACCCACTAAATCTCAAGCCTCATTATACAACACAAAAACCACGACACTTCCAACCTCGAAATCCAGTGAACCAAGAGCAGAAGGCTAAAGAATTGTGCTTTCAAAGTGATGAGAGATGGAGCGTGCCGGTGGGGGAGACGGAGGGTTCCGAAGAAGGTACATCCGGACCGCAGGATTGGTTGGGTTATCTAACCCACGAACCATGAAATTGGAAGGGAAGCTAGGTCGAGGTCGGTGGTGGTTATGGTGGACCCTGGGGCCACTCATAACTTCATATCCAGCACCATCGTTGATGAAATTGGTGTATCGGTGGACAGTGATAAGGAATTTGGGGTTTCATTAGGCAACGATGACTCAATTTGGGGAAGGGGCATGTGTAAGGGGGTGCGAGTGATTCTCAAGAGTGGCTTTGTGGTGGTGGATAATTTTCTGCACTGCGATTGGGAACGCTGACCTTATTTTAGGCATTCAGTGGTTAGAAAAGTTGGGAACAATCATTACGAAAAAGAAAACTCATGTCATGAGTTTCACATTGGGTGGCCGAACCACCACCTTGGTGGGTAACCCATCCCTAGAACATACGAGGGTGTCCCTTGCGCCATGAGGGAGATGGGCTATGGTTAGAAATCAACTAAGTAAAGGCTGAATTGGAAGGGAGCAGAACATAAGGGCTAGTGTCGGTAGTTCCTGGGTGGCTAAAAAGCGTCATGGCATAATACCAGGAGGTGTTTTCCACCCCAAAGGGGCTTCCCTCGAAACGTGGTCACGAACACTCCATAATTTTGAAAAAGGGGAGTGACCCCGTAAGCGTTCAGCCTTACAGGTTTCCTCATTATCAAAAGAATGAAATTGAGAAACTCATACACGAGATACTCTGGTATAATCAAGTCGTCGGTCAATCCCTTCTTTAGTCCGTTTTGTTGGTGAAGAAGGAGGGGTTGTGGCGTTTTTGCGTCGACTACCGTGCCTTAAAGCATGAGATCATTCCTCACAAATACCCGATTCCGATCATCGAGGAACTCTTAGACGAGTTACATGGGGTTGCTGTGTTTTTGAAACTCGACCTTAAGTCGGGTTACCACCAAATCTTAGTGCGGGAGGAAGACACCCATAAAACCGCCTTCTGCACTTACGAGGGGCATTACGAGTTCTTGGTAATGCCATTCAGGTTAACAAATGCTCCGGCAACCTTCCAAACCCTCATGAACGATGTATTCCGGTCGTATCTAAGAAAGTTTGTATTAGAGTTCTTCGACGACATTTTAGTCTATAGTCCTAACCGAGAAAGCCATCTCGAACATATGAAAGCGGTGTTGTCCAAGTTGAAGGAGCACAAATTGGTGGCGAATTTCAAGAAGTGTGAATTTCGGTAGGGGTGAAAGTTCGGTATTCGGTTAGGATTAAGGCCCAAACTGAAACCAAACTGAATTGATTTGGTTTTTGATTTTCCAAAACAAATTAGAACTCGATCCAATCCAAACCGAACCGAATTTCGAATCATCAAACCAAATTCAATCCAGAAACCGATTTTTTTTTTAAGGTTCGCGAAATTTTAAAGAAAATCAAACAATTTTTACAATTTTAATTGACAATCAATCTCAAAATTGCACAAGCCTTAACTAATACTAATCCAAGACTATAACACTGAAGTGTTGTCCGTTTATATTGTTCTTCCTTGCAAAGTTGCAAACACCAAGTTTCAGATCTATGTTATGATGTTCAACATTACTAAAAAAAAAAAAAAATTAAAATTTTTGCAAAAAAAATTTGTACCCCATTTTAGATAGACGAAAGAAATTTATTTATGCTATGCTTCTTGTTGCAATTCACATGGGGCTTGTATGTTGAAATCACAATTGTATATTTGTAATGTGAAAATCAAATTCGAAGATTAAATTACATTGCATGTGGAATATTGTGGAGGGAGATTGAAGAATAAGATGGAAATTGAGCAATAATTTACAAGAGGAGAGAGAATGAAGAGTGTGCCATTAGATGATAAGAGAATGAAAGAGTAGAGGAGAAAGAGAATGACGAGATGAAAAAGAGAGAGAAGGGTGGCGGTGAAGGGTTGTAGATGTTAGGGTTTGCTTTAGATTAGATAATTCGGTTTGCTTGAATGTAACAATAAGACAAAAGATAGAGGAAGGCGTAAGGATTTTTTTTATTGATATTTGTAAATAACGGCTACAAGACTATGGTTTGGCTAAAAGCTTGACACTGAAGAATGCTACAACTACTACTACTCTACTACCACTTTCTCCAATAACAACATGAACATTACTATTGTATTACTACCTCTTATATACTAAGCTTCCCCTCATACAAAAAGTACCCTAACAATTAAAGAACTTGTCATGTACTGCCAAGGTGGCCTTCACACACAAAATCAGATGCCACACTTCTTAGTGGAACATTAAAACTTTTGTCTTCTTGCTACTTTTGCCTACTTAACTCCACCAATATCCCACTCTACTCCCTGCACAAATTACGGTTCATGGCCTTTAATGAAATTTGAGTTTTCTCGAGTGACAAATCTCCCGTGATAGTCACCGACATCCCCTTCATCCAAAATTTCATTACATGTGTTTTCCAATTAGTCGTCACCGACCCTAGCTACTCTAACCACTATACACAAGAATTATGTCCGCGTTGCCCAATTCAAGAGCCAAGAAGTCTTCAACAACTGTCACTCCCCCCTCTTAATTCACCTCCATGCTCCGGCATACCCCATACCCTTTCACTGTCTCTCCATTCCCTTGGACACAGGCACCGCCATCTTCGCCACAAATTTTAGAGCAATGAAGTTGTGAGTAGCTCCGCGATCAATCATCACCACCTCCGATCGCCCTCCTAACGTTCCCTTTGATTTCATGGTCTTGGGATTGGAAATGCCGATTATCGAACACAAGGACACTTCTACCTTTGCCTCCTCCGCCATATTATCCTCCGACTCCGGTGTTTCATCCTCCTCCACAACCATTAACACACTCATCTCCTTCCTTTTACACCTATGCCCCACGCCCCACTTATCATCACATCTAAAACTAGAAGTATGAATTGGCCCTCTTTCCTGTAACTCTGCCTCAGTGAGACGTCGTGCGAAGGTGGCACTCATGCCTTGCAAATTACCCAATGGATTCGCCATGTTCACCGAAGCTTGCGATTCCCCTGGCTTACCCAATGATTAGGAGTGCCGTAAGTTTGAACAAGCCCGGGCCATCCCCTTTGGTAAAACTAGAAGTATAAATTGGGCTAGGGGTTTGGATAGAATTCTAGCTGGCCCATACTTATAACTCCCTTGACCTACCGTCCTACATTCACAACCCGATTCTTTTCTTTCTACCCGACCCGCCAACTCCATAGCACCTTCCAAATGAGACGGGTTCAACATGCGGAGCTCCGTTTTGATTTCACCTTTAAGCCCATTGATGAATTGAGCAAACATAATATTTTCGGGAATCCCTTCCAACGGAGTAGCCAATTCAATATACCTCCATCTGTAATCTTCCACCGATCTTTCTTGCGTCACGACTAATCACTCTATGATAGCCGGAATTCATATAGTAAGCGTTGCTTGAGGTCTAGCCACCCCACAATCGGCCTCCTTTTCTTCTCCCATTGATACCATTTAAGCGTCACCCCGTCCATCGCTACCAGCGATGCCTCCAACTTCTCTCTCTCCGTTAACCGATAAAACTCAAAGAACATCTCCTCCCTTACAATCCAATTATCAGGATCGATACCTTCAAAAAGGGGCATCTCTAGCTTCCGGTGTTTCCAGTGGCGACAGCCGCCATGCTAGTTCCTCTGCTCAAACTGCTCCTCCTCGCCCCCTCGCCCTGACCTTCTCACCGGAGTTTGAACTTTATTCTCATATTGGGCTTGACTATTCTCCCTGTCAAGGTTGAGAATAGGCTTAAAAATAGGTGGCGACCTTTTTCCTTATGCACCGGTCGCCACATGTTTCATCTCTACCCGGAACTTTTTGTTTTGCCACTTCTCTACTGTTGATTACCTCTCGTGGTCTACCCAAAACTGGTCGATTTTGGCCTCTAGCCAAGTGGTGGTGTTGGCCAGAGCCTCTTCCGACCGCTTCCTCTCGGGAGACGCCCGCCGCCTATACCACTCTTCCTATGGTGGCCTTTTGCGTGTCAAACTTCCCCTCGATGGCCTTGAGTTTAGCCTCTTGAGAGCCGAACTTCCCATCAATCGCCGTGAGTTTAGCCTCCATCGTTGTGGGTCTCTCCTCGATAGTATCCACCCTTTGCATGAGCAAGGTCACCATGATCGACTGCTTTGATACCACTTGCTATAGATTAGATAATTCGGTTTGCTTGAATGTAATAGTAAAAAAAAAAAGATAGAGGAAGGCTTAAGGATTTTTTTATTGATATTTGTAAATAACGGCTACAAGACTATGGTCTGGCTAAAAGCTAGACACTTGAAGAATGCTACAACTACTACTACTCCACTACTACTTTCCAATAACAACATGAACATCACTATTGCATTGCTACCTCTTATAAACTAAGCTTCCCCTCATACAAAAAGTACCCTAACAATTAAAGAACTTGTCATGTACTGCCAAGGTGGCCTTAATACACTTCTTAGTGGATCATTAGAAATTTTGTATTCTTGCTGCTACCGCTCTTATCTTGTAGTCTTGTGCTTGTGTCTTCTCTCATAGACCCCGATTGGTTGTTGCTGGAGTAGGTTGACCCGATTCATAGCAGGGTATTATTATTTTCCATTTATATGGGAAGAGTAAGGATGGATGCTTGGTGGGCTATAAATTTGGGCCTAGCTTTAAACTAAATCAGGTTGCACACATAAATTTTTAACACAATTCGGTTTTAGTTCGGTTTTCAATTTTGAAAAGCTAAAAATTGAATACAAACCGAAAAACCGAATTTTTAAACTATTCAATCTGAACCAAACCGAATTAAAAAATAAACCGATCCGAATGATAATTCGGTTCGGTTTTTTCGGTTTTTAGCCAATTGTTTCCCAGGAGGGAGTTGCGGTGGACATGGATAAAGTGAAGGCTGTGGTGGATTGGCCAACTCCACAAAACCTCAGAGAATTACGAGGTTTCCAAGGTTTGACCAGCTACCACAGGAATTTCATAAGGGGTTATGCTCAGATTGCTAGACGGAGCAATTAAGGAAGGACAACTTTGGGTGGTCTCAAGAAGTGACTAACGCATTTGAGGAGCTCAAAACTGCCATGGTTTCAGCCCCTGTGTTAGTCATGCCAGAGTTTTACAAGGCGTTCGTGATTGAGGCGGATGCTTCGGGTTTTGGTTTGGGGGTGTTATTGATGCAAGAAGCTCATCCCATTGCTTTCGAAAAAGAATTGATGGCTATTTGTTTTGTCGTGGTCAAGCGGAGACATTATCTTCTTGGCCGTCGCTTCGTCGTAAGGACTGATTAACAGAGCATGAAATATATCATGGAACAGTGAGAAGTGAGCGGGGATTACCAGAAATGGGTTCGGAAATTGTTGGGCTTTGATTTTAAAAATTCAATTCAAGCCCGGAGTGAGCAATAGGGTGACAGATGCTCTGTCTCCAAGAGGAGAAATCACAAAAAAAATCTGAGTTGGGGCCCTTAATTTCGGTTTAAGGAGTTAATTGGGGTGAGTTGGAGAGAGATTAAATCGGATAAAATCTTGTGTAAAATTGCTGAAGATGTATTATGCAGGCTACACTTGGGAAAAAGGGCGATTGTTGTTCAAAAGGAAGGTGGTGCTTCCTACATTGTCAACATTGATTCCTAAGCTACTCAAGGAATATCACGACAGTCCGGTAGGAGGGCACCAAAGTGAGACTAAGACCTACTTAAGAATCGCATCGGAATGGTATTGGGTGCGAATGAGGAAGGATATTAGTGCTCATGTGAAGCAATGCGCGGTATGTCAGCAAGCAAAGCATTCTTAACTCCAACCTTCTCGGTTACTTCAGCCGCTACCGATTCCCGAGGCAATATGGGAGGACATCTCTATAGACTTCATAGAGGGACTTCCTCGCTCAAAGGGGATGGAATCTGTTTTGGTAGTAGTAGATCGACTGTCAAAATATGTGCATTTCATCGGATTAAAGCATCCTTATAGTGCTTTGACGGTTGCCGAGGTCTTAGTTAAGGAAATCGTTCAATTACATGGGTTCCCAACGCCCATTGTATCGGACCAAGATCGTGTGTTTATGAGCATTTTTTGGAAGGAATTGTTTAAGTTGCAAGGAACGGATCTCAAGAGAAGTACCGCGTACCACCCTCAAACCGACGGCCAAACGGAAGTGGTGAACAAAACCTTGGAGACTTACTTGAGGTGTTTTGTGAATGGACAACCCAAATCATGGGGTGAATGTTTGCATTGGGCTGAGTATGCTTATAATACTTCTCACCATGCCTGTAGTGGATTCACGCTGTTTAGGGTAATGTATAGGAGAAATCCTCTGAAATTGATCAAGGTGGGCAGAGGGCAGACTACGGTGGATGGCTTGGACGAATGGTTGCCGGAAAGAGATTGGGTGCTTAAGGATTTGCACATGAACCTGATATGAAGAGGAAGGAGGAAGAATTTCAGCTAGAGGATTGGGTCTACTTGAAGCTACAACCATATAGGCAGAAATCTCTTGCCAAGAAACCATGTGAGAAGCTAGCACCGCATTTCAATGGACCCTTCAAGGTCATCCAACGAATTGGTGAGGTAGCTTACAAGCTAGAGTTGCCTGACACTTGCCGCACTCACCCTGTTTTCCATGTGTCTCACCTCAAGAGAGCAGTAGGAGATCATGTGGCTAATCCTACGATACCCAGCCAATTGTCCGAGGGGCTTGAGCTATTAGTGGAACCCGATGTTGTGCTTGAGGTCAGACCATCCAAGAGCAAATCAGAGATGCATGAGGTGTTAATTAAATGGTGAGGTTTACCCTTATTGGAGGCCACCTAGGAAGAAACTTCTATGATTCAAGACAGGTTCCCTTCTTTTCACCTTGAGGAAAAGGTGGCGCTCATAGGGGGAGGAGATGTAACAAATACCATGAGCAAACACAAGCAACTGATCACATACGCTAGAAGGGGCAGGAAAGGACAAGGAGGGCTGTCAAGGGAAGGAGTAGTGGAGCAGCCTCCAAGTCAGTGAGCAGCCAAGGCAGGACTGTGGTGGGTTGGTAGCATATTATAGTGTGACAGCTGCCACCTTGCTTTGTCATTATCTTATTTTGGCAGATTATGTATATATAAAAAGGGGAAGTAGGAGAGTGCTTAGCTAGCTTGAGTATTGAAGTCGTTTGGGTGTAGAGATTTGTGTCCTAAAGGCACTAGGGAGAGTGGTGGCCTCAAGCCTCCTTGTAAGAAAGCTTTGATCTTTATTGATGAAATAGCTGCCTTTTCTCTAAATCTGTCCATTGTTTGCTTTTGTGTGAATTTCTCTACTTAGCTGCACTAGTTCGTTACATCACCAAGTTGTTATACCGTTAAGCTACAATAAGTGAAATGTCAAAAAAATCCTTACCAATCACATAATGTCTAGCACATAACATTTCAACTGCAGAATGTCTTACCAGTAATTAAAACCATTTACAGTCTAGGTGAGAAGTGATGGTGGCTTTACATATCATTGCCAAAAGAATCATCACTATGAATCCAAAAGCTTTGACAAAGTTTTGTATTTTTTATTGGCTACTTAATGCAGGCTTCACATGAACTGGTAAATAAACCAAAATTCAACTAGGAGGTGTACTAAGAGATACTTACAAATGTTACCCGACTCTTCATTTTTCACTCCAAGCACCCATGAAAATACTTAACACTTGTTTAGGATAAATAAAGATACAAATTTTTAATGAAGTAGACAGGTCTAAACACTGGACACATGCTTGTAAAACATGCCAGAAACATTCATCAGCAATATTGACTACTGTAATATTCATATATTAAGAGCTCCAAATGTTATGAATCAAGACAAGAAGAACAAGATAATAATCAGGAAAAAAAAAAAAAAAAGAGGTTTAAACAATGGTTCACCACCCCATCAACACCCAAGCAATCTTACAATCCACAGAAGAGCAAATAATTGATTGACAAGCATGCCACAAGGCACACAATAATGAAGTCAAAGCAAATGAAGAAATTGAGATTGAATTTGGAGAGGTTACATTTGATCAAGCTGCTTGTTAACTTCATCAACTTCTTCCAGATCTGTAATTAGTTGACGAACTATTGCTCCATATGTCAATGTAAACAACTCCGCATTCTATTGCACCAATCCAAGTCAATTCATGCAATCAATCAATCAATACATCATCTTATTTTCAATCACTCTATGCTCTTGACTAATAACTAAACTATGATCCTGAATCCTAATTACTATCAATTGTAATTTTCAATCAATAATATCATTACCATGCGAAAGCATTTATTCAAAGACCAATAACATGGGAGTGCAATTGTAAGAAAAATAATAACTCACAACACGCTCAGCACTAGCAAAGATGGCCTCCCCAGATCGTGGAGCAACCGCCGGCATCTTCTGATCCCACTGCTTTCAAGAGAGATTTTAGAGAAAGAAAGAAAAAGAGAGTACAGGGTAATTTTGCGAGGATAGGCATATAAGTAAGAATTGAAGAGTGCAATTCAAATTGGCTTCAAAAAGAAGGCCCCATTCGATAATATGCTTAAGTTCGCTAGACTTGTTCATCGAGCCACATCAGAGATTAAGCCTGTAGAGTCTAAATTTCTTTTTACGGGCAACATGAAACTTAAGATGATTTCAAAGGCTCAGCAAAGTCATCAAAAGTAGAATAAAGTTGTCCAAAATCACTGTACATGACACCATACATAGTAAAAGTAGTATTTTGAAAAGCTACATTTTGATTGTATTATGCCATAAAAAAAGAAAAAGTAGGCATTTTTGTCAAGATAATAAGTATTAATCCCAGAGTAGTAGTACTAGTAACTGAATAATGCAACTATTAACCTTCTGTCAAATGAAGCTGATTAAAGTGCCCTGAAAGTAGTAGTGAGGTGTCTATAGTGTAGAAGCCCAACGACTGTGTATGGGTACTTATCCTTGATAAAATCACATTTAATATGAATTTGGTAATATGTGACACTTATGTTTATGTTATTTTTTCTCAAACATGGAGTAATCTGTCAACACATAGTCACATTTAAAGTACCCTGATCCTCAAATGAACCCTAACTATAAAACAAAAGTTTCATTCCCAATCAGATACCCATCCTCGATTCTAAATGATTCCACAAAGCTAGTAATTTCTACAAAAACATTAAAATTCTGTTGGACATTTTGTCGAACAGTTTATGGGCACAACATAATCTGTTATTAGAAAATAATAGAAAGTCAATGATTCCAGTCTACATCTCAAAAATTCCATGAAACTGATTTAAACTGATAATTTGTAAACCCTAATTTCAGCAATTTTACCAACAAATCACCTAATTTCAAATGAGATATCAAATCGAAACAAATTTCAAACTTAGTTTTCGACAACAATTCACATTTGATCGAATCATCGGAAACAAACACGAAATAGTAGTATAACTCGTGGATTAGATAGAAAAAAAGGAAATAATTGAAATACCTGGAAAATGCAGTTAAAAGCTGGGAGCTAACTAAGAACAAAATCGGAGAGAAAATGAGCGAATCAAGATTCAAGATTGAAGTTGTGGTTTGTGGAGAATATGCAATCATAAAAAGCATGAGCAGATTGGTTGATTGTCAAGGTTGAGTCTTGAAAGATTGGAGATGTATGCGTTTGGTAAGAGGGACAAGTAGAATTTTTTAAAGTAGGATTTGATTAGCTTTGACTCTTTGAGCCTTTGACTGTATTTGTAGGCTAATATACAGTACATACTTACGAGTACTTCGTAATATAATCTAATATATATAAATAAAGTAGGCATTTTTGGAGAGCATTCGGAGCGCCACATAAGATATATACTTATTTCGACCAATAAGAAGAAAGATTTGTATTTTATTTTTGAATTAAAAAATTATGTCGCCACTTAGATAAAAGTAACGAATTAGATTTGATATATCTAAAATTTTAATGCCACGTAGATTATAATCCACGAATTAAATTATTTTAATGGACAAAAAATAAAGTAAAAATATAGGAAAAAAATAAATTTATTAATTTAATACTACGTGTATAAGAAATCCAAAAAAAAATATACTAAAAATTATTTAAATGATAAACGCTTATAATAAAGTTTGATACCTATCATTATAAGATAAATTTTGATAATATTTATGATAAGTAATACAAATTGTTCGTTAATTATAATTAAATTAAAATTTGTGATACCTACCATTATAAATTGACACATCATACGACACCAAACGAAATTTCGTATCAATAAAAAACCCTATCAAGTGAATTTTGTGTTAGTAATTTTGTGTTAATTTTTGGTCATCAATGGCCGGGTAATTTTTAGCTTAATTTTTAAATCCTATGTTTAAATTAGTATTTTTAATTATTACTTACATTGTATTAATTTGGGATACTCAATTATTTAATGTTTATGTTTTATTTTTGGTCAACAACGTCTGAGTAATTTCTAAAATCTTATGTTTAAATTTATATTTGTAATTATTAGTTACATTGTATTTATTTAGGATACTTAACAATTATTTGTTTATGTAATGGCATACGATTAGATGTTGTATACTTAATATATGGATGACTTTGGTTATTTTTGAAGATGATGAAAAAATTCCAATGCATAGATTTGATTTTATATCGCAACAACTTTTCATTTATTGGTAAATATATTAATTTATTTTATATAATTGTAAAGATGTATTTATATCAATTTCAGTTTGGCTAGCATTTCACGGTTCAATTTATCCATTGATGTAGTAGGTTGGTTGTGGACGAGGTTGGTGATTCTATCAAAATAAAAGATATCTATTGGAATAAAAGATATGGTAAAACAATGAATAATGATTTAGGATTTAAATTATTAAAAATTTATCATTTCACATTAAATATTTTATATAACGGAAAAAATATCATATTTACAATTTATTTGTATTTAATAAATTCATTATAAATTATAGTAAAAAAATAAATAAATACGGAGTATTAAAATTTTGTAATTTTGTCTAAAATTATTAAATACAATAAATCAAATAAATAAAAATCTTAGATGAAAAAACCGTGCATCACACGGGCTTCCATCTAGTTAATACTAAGCATGGTCGAGTAGGAAAGCTAAGCATGGTCTAGTAGGAAAGAACATCTTCAAGGTCGGGGTTGCTTCCTCCAAAAAAAAAAAAAAAAAAGGGACGGGTTGCTAAATAGACAGGTTTTTGCTCGTGGACGACATTGTGGAGTTGTAATCAATAACATAATACTAAAATAGACACCAGAAAATATTTATTCCTCCAACACTCATCTTTTTAGCTATTTTAATTCATTCCTAATATAAAATATTCACTATTTTGATTGAAATATTCCATCCCTTTTTTAAAGTAATCTTTATATATGTATATTAAGTTTATAATTTTAATACATTCTGATTGAATTTTTTTTTTTCTGTTTTTTTTTTAGGGAGAAATATTTTATTTATTGATTGAGCTATTTCAATTCTTTTTTTTTTCTTTTTTTTCTTTTTTTTTTTTGTGACATGAGCTATTTCAATTCATTCCTTATATAAAATATGCACTATACTTTGATTGAAATATTCCATCCCTTACTTAAAAGAATCTTTATATATATATGTATATTAAGTTTATAATTTCAATATATTCTGATTGAAATATTTTATACATGTAAATTTCATCACAATAGGAAATATCAGAATAATAATTATATATTGCATTATCGTATAGTCATTGTAATATTTTTACTATATCAAATTACCATGCCCGTTCAACCAAGAAAAAAAAAAAATCAAATTACCATGCATTATACTAATTTTTTGTTTTTCCTTTTCCTTTCGGTCATGTACCTCTTTTGAATAAAAAAAAATAAAATATTACGCATTGTGATATTCATTAATATAGAATATCATTGCATAAGATCTGGCCTACAAAGCTACAATGATTCTATACCGTATTGCCATTGTAATATTTTTACTATGCCATATTACCATGCTGCCATGCATTGTATTATTTGTTAGTCATAGTAATCAGTGGCGGATCAAGGATTTAACGGATAGCGTGTTACCAACGTTTACCGAACACATATAACTCAATAACAAAAGCATGGATAAATATATAATTTGAGACTTATAGCTCAAAACTATTCATATTCATGATAATATCCAAGCTAATACTCCGTATCTAAAAACAAATTTGAAATATCCCACATATATTTGCTTTTCCATGAAATTTAAGTCTCAATGTGAATTAGATAAAGCAATGTACTTTTGTCCAACTATAAAAACTTGAATCATTCAATCAATTACATCAAATTAATAATACATCGTAATATATATACTAATTCCTATTAAAAAAAAATTAACTGCAAATATCAATGGATAAACAATTTCTTAAAAAAAAATAAAAATTGACAAACAATTTCAATGCCAATCTTTTTTTTTTTCGTATCAATTGTAAATTAATAATTGAGAAATTTATCATCAATAAAATCAACTCTAACCATCAAACAAGAACAATACCTTATACTCTCTAAATGAAAAGAACAGTAAACGAACAACAAATAATAATTCAAAAAAAAAAAAAATCAACAAAAATAAGCAAGTTGATTGACTACTTAATTTGAAAGGAGAGGAAAGAAGGAATACCCCTCTTAGCCTCTTCTCCCAACACCACCTTGAGTCCATGACCCCCATCCCCTCGTTCACAGCACCGCCGCTGCAACCGCCACCAAAACCCTGCACCACCACCGAAACCACCCTCCTTCCAGAGCCACATGAGCGCAATAGACCCCCCGCCCCAGCCCCACCAACGAAACCGCCCAAAACTTGAATTCCCCAACCCGAAACCACCCTAAACTCCCATCCCTTTCCCCACCCAAAACCCCCACCCCTTTCCCTGACCCGAAACCCGTAGACTCGAAACCCCTACCCCTGAAACCATTCCCCCACCCCTCGGAATTTTCATGGTTTCATTCTGACATTAAAGAGTTACACAAACCAAACCCTGCAACACATTAGCAACCAAAATTGACTCAATTATCAAACTAGACTCCAAAAATTACGTTAAATTCTTCAAGTATCTATAACCAATAGTTCAATTATCCAACTTCGAAGAACCCTAAATTGAGTATATACTGACAATTAAATACACGATTAACATTAGATTGTCAAAATTAATATTAGATGATTAAAGAAAAGGAAGCATCTAACCTTAGAGACTGCTTCAATGGAGGAGAGAAAGCTCAGAAGCCGCTACAATGGAGAATTTCGAGTACGCTTCAATGGAGGAGAGAGAGAGGAAGGAGTATAGCGAGAAAGCGCAAAGCCTGAAATAGATCTAAAAGGGAAAAAAGAAAATAAGATCAGGAATAAATTTTTTAGTAATTTTTATTTATTTATTTTTTTTAATAAAATAATACTGTGTTTCGGGACCCACGATGACTACATGTGGGTCCGCCACTAATTGTAATATTCTTTGTTATAAAATGAGAAAATCCAAGTTAATATCTGTGATAAACTTGGATTGTTTATATCATGTTCGTAATAAAATAGGATTGAAGTCTGTGCCCAGGTTATAAACAATTGTTTTACATACAAAAGTCCTGACATTATGCCAACTTGCACAATAAAACAAATTGACGGAGCCTACTAACGTTAAGCTTGGATTCGTGAGTGCTTAATCCACTGTACATGGCCAATTCTTCTGAACGTTTTTCCAATTTGAGCTCTAAACGTAAACTATTGACAAAAATGGTTGCGTGGAAAAACTATTTACCAAACTAAGCTTCCAGGGTAAATCGCTGTCTCGGACAGCGTTTTACCCCTGGTTTTTTTTTTAAAAAAAATTCAACTGGTAAACGCTGTCTCAGACAGCGTTTTACCTTCTGTATTTTTTTAAATTCAGTAGGGCATAAAACGCTGTCTCGGACAGCGTTTTATACTTGGGTTTTTTTTAAAAAAAAATCAAACTACAACTATTTTATATGTTCAACATAAAGCGCTGTCTCAGACAGCGCTTTATGCTTGAACATAAAACGCTGTCTCAGACAGCGCTTTTCTGCTGGAAACAGCAACCAGCATCCAGGCAGAAAACAAGCTTCAGCAAACAGCTTGCATGCTGCAGTCCTCCAACAGCCACCACAACAGCCAGCTCCACAGCCCTACCGTCCATCGTATCTGTTCACATGCAATTTAACAAATCCCAACAGAGTTAACGCATTAGCAATTAACCAAAATGTTAACGATCAAATGTTCCAAATGTTATTAAATCAAAATGTTCCAAATGTTATTAAATCAAAATTTTCTATTACAAAATAATTCCTCCATCTACGATTACAACGAATTTCAGTTAACAGTCATGGGTCCTCTGAGGGTCTCGATGGACACGTTGCCCGGTTATGGCCCTGAACGTGACAACGACTACATTTGCTCGCGGGCCGGTTAGTCTCATCCATTTCATTACGTATGCGCTTTGACCTTGGTCGCCCTATTCCACGCAACATGCTCCCGTCGGGAATGATTCTGGGACCGTTATAGGGCATCCCTGTTCAAATCTTGCCTCAGAAGACTCCCTTCTCAAAGTGAAATATTTGTTAACTCTATGAAAAGTTAACTCGACTAGGGACATGATCGGTAGAAACCGTGCTCCCTTCAACACGTTGTTGAATGTCTCAGAGAAGTTAGTAGTGCAAATCCCGTATCTACGTCCAGCGTCGTGAAAGAGGGACCACATGGTGAACGGAATTTGAACAATGTACTCCATTGCCTTGTTACACGCCTCACTAATGAAACACAGATCGCCGTGTAGTTTTCTTTCCTGCCTTTGGTACGCCGTAGCCTTGAACATATCTCTCATGTCGTTTCGTCGCACGTGAGTCTTCAAGTTAGAAGCTATGTGGCGAACACAAAATCTGTGATAGGCTCGCGGCTCGGTAAATCCAACGTTCGGATCAGTCATTGCTGCAATGATCCCAGGATGTCGGTCAGATATAACACAAAGGCCATCTCGTTGAGTGACATGAACCCGAATGCAACCCAGGAACCAAGACCAGCTGGAGGTGTTTTCCCCCTCAACCAACGCAAATGCTAGAGGAAATACTTGGAAGTTTGCATCAACACTTGTAGCAACCAACAGTGTTCCTTTGTACTTCCCGTACAAGTGCGTCCCATCGATACAGATAACTGACATACAATGTTTAAAACCGTCGATACAAGGGCCAAACGCCCAAAACACTCTTTCAAACACTTCCATGTTGCTGTAGTAAACACCGTCAACCAACGCTTTGTACTTCCACACAACACACGTTCCCGGGTTTGACTGTTGGAGGGCTTGCATGAAGTGCGGAAGTCTGCCGTAAGAACTCTCCCAATCACCGTAAATATCAGCTATTGCTTTCCCCTTTGCATACCATGCCCTCCGGTACGGGACATCGAAATGAAATTGCTTGGAGATGAGTTCTTGTATGAATTCAACTTTCAAAGACGGATCTTTCCGAACAAAGGACTTCACAAAATCTGATATTAACGACGAATCCAAATGCGGGTGATCAGTGGACAATACTTCCGTGACACAGTTCTCCCGGTGCGGGCCTTTGTATGTGACTAGGGCGAAGCCACGCGAGTGCTTACTAGATTTGGTACCCCGTAGCATCCAACCACATTTTTTCTTGCACCGCAAATGAAGCACACTCTCATTCGATGTAATTGTGGTGTAGAACTGATTCCTCTGTATGGAATACATCTTCACCATTTCTTGGAGCACTTTCTTACTTTCGAACCACATCCCCTTCTCAAATTCCCCCCCCGGAACAAACGGCGTATGACTACCCGATTCGGCCCAATCCTGATCAACTTCGTAGTTCTCGTTCACCTGACTGAACCATGGAATGGGAGTTCTAACCAGGGGCTCGCCCACTTCCATCCGAGCAGGTTCTACATCCATGTTCTGAAGTCCATCTTCCTCTTCTCCGCTATCGGCCTCATCATTTGTGTACACATCATACACGGAAAGTTCGTTATTCACAATATCTTCAAGATGATTCGGCGCATGCTGAGAACTAAATGGCATGTCAAATTGATCGTCGTGCAGCATTCGACTGAAAGATCCCATCCCATATTCAGTTGATGGAATGTCGTGTGACGGCACTTGAAAGGGCTCTGTGTTGTACCCAGAAATACGTGTAGATTGTTGTTCTGGCCGAGTACCTTGTTGGGTACATATAGGCACCGTTTCCACATATATTTCAGTGGGAACACCCTTCATTGCAACAACGTTCCTTAGAGCTGTCACATGCTTATTCGTAGAAACCGGTAACACTTGAACCCCATTGCCGGTCTCAAACCTCATTTTAATGTGTACGTCAACGGTCATCGGGTCTGAACCAATACTACTATGAACCTCATTCATCAAATCATTCATAGTCATGTTCGGTTCTAGTGTTAGTGGTTCCATATTTCCCCCACTATACTCGACCCGGGGTCCATCAAACAGAATTTCTCCTCCCCACCGGCATAACAAAACTACATTTTGTGACGCCATATTCTACATAACCAAAACACATTTTAGGATTATCGAAATCTAGAGCGAGGTAAATTATCAACACTGAAATAAGACTCTTCTCACCTATAACAACTTCACTTTCAACAACTTCACCAATTTCAACAATTTCATGAACAATTTGAATTATTTCAACAATTTCAACCATTAACAACTTCAACATTTTCACCATCATCAACTTCACCAATGTCATGAACAATTTCAATAACAATGTACCACATCACCATCAATAATTATCAACAATGTACCACATTTTCATTAATAATTAGCAACAATTACATGCAATTGACATGAATTAACAACAAGTAAGAGCAATTACATACAATTCACAATAATTAACCACAATAACTATGCAATTACACTAAATTCAGTTTAGGGCTAACCACGAAATTGAGTGAGTGAGTGTGAGAGGGAGGAGGGCAGCAGCAAGGTGGCGGCAGCAGCGGTGGCGCAAGGGTGGGCGGCGGCGGCAATGCGGGTGTTTGAGTACGGTCGTGGTTTAGTGTGAGAGGGAGGAGGGAAAGCGTTGAGGTTGAGGTTGAGTTCTTGCGCATTCTGCTGAAGTGAACATGCTGATATATGGCCATGAAACGCTGTCCCGGACAGCGTTTCATTTAAAAAAAAACAGGGCATAAAACGCTGTCCCGGACAGCGTTTTACCCATTGATTTTTTTTAAAAAAAAACCCAAGTATAAAACGCTGTCCGAGACAGCGTTTTATGCCCTACTGAATTTAAAAAAATACAGAAGGTAAAACGCTGTCTGGGACAGCGTTTACCAGTTGAATTTTTTTTTAAAAAAAACCAGGGGTAAAACGCTGTCCGAGACAGCGATTTACCCTGGAAGCTTAGTTTGGTAAATAGTTTTGCCACGCAACCATTTTTGTCAATAGTTTACGTTTAGAGCTCAAATTGGAAAAACCTCCAATTCTTCTTCCTCCATTCTCTCATCTCCATTAGCAAAAATTAAAAACCATTAATGGAGAAATAGAAAAGCACGAGCAGTCAAACAAGCTTCAATGGAGAAGGAAGACAAACCTTTCCCTTAAGGGCTAACCATGCCTTAATTTCTCTAATGTCCTAGGGTTTTTTGTTTGATTCGGTGACGAAGCCGCCGACAATTTGCCGCCGAAAAGGTGAAAAGAGGTTGAAGAAGATAGGGGACGCCGAGATACCAGGTAATGTCAAGCAAATCCAAGCGGTGGTTGCAAGATGCCGAGATCTGGTGGGTACGCAGCGTGGTTTGCAGTTGGCGTGAATTGAAGAAGAAGAAGAAACGTGTCGTTGACGACAATATAACAGCAGATATCCGTCCATTTGCTTTGGACATTATCACCCTTACTTTTATACGCGAAATGACGAATTTGCCCTGATATAAACAGCTCAAGTTTCTCTCCGATATTTACCTGGGCCAACTCTAATAAAATATCACTGCATAAGATCTAGACTAAACGAGCCAGAAACTTCTTTAAGTTAATTAAATCAAATCAACATTCTTTATATTAAGCAAATTATATATCATGCACAAGATTTACCTAAACAAGCTACTCGAATGTTCTTCGATATTATTATTATCTACGTTAAGTAAATCAAATCAATAATCTTTACATTAAAAATATCTTGCACAAGATTTACCTAAGCAACCTACTAGAATATTCTTTACATTGAGTAAATAAAATCAGCATTCTTTATTAAAAAAGAAATCAAAGCCATTTTTAATGTTCATATATATGCTATTACCTTTGCACTTTCTAATCATCTTCAATTCATAAATATATTCTTATGATAAAATTTTCATACTACTAAACAAATGCTATCAGTTATTTCTGATATATTAGGAATTGCATGCCAATTCAACAAAAGATGGCAAACCAATTAACATGCTCACTTTTTAGTTAGAGAATTTGAAATAATTACTATAAATTTTTTGAACCTTAATATAACATTGCTACCGTATACATTTTTTTAAAAAAAAATATTTCAAGAAAAATGTTTTGAGTAACACTTTATGGAATATGTATGCGGATCAAATGGAAAATTATTTGAACGTGCATCCGGGCTGTCAGTTATATTGATAGTGTAATTCGCAAAAATAAAGAATTGTAAAGGGATTGATGATCAACTACCTTTAATTCACCATTCTACTTTATTTATCTTTTCGCTCAATTTCATGAGTTTATGTTTACATTTTGTATTATCAATTATCATAAATTAATTAGGTCTCCAATATTTTGTTCGATATCTTTTTGTTTGTTATATATAATTGGATTATTAATGTACAATTTATTTTAGACTTACCGTGCGTGGCACGGGTCCTAAACTAGTTGAGATCTATAAATCTATAACCTTAGTACATAAAAAGTTTAATTCTTTGGCCACCCCCCTAATATCCTTAGCTATTTGCTAGATTTTGAAGTCTGCTAAAAGCAATTGTTATAAAAAAAAATGTCTATGAAAATAACTTAATTTATACGGTGCGATCATAAATCAAAATGACCAAGTTAGAACACGTGAGGATTTATTACATCTATGTATAGGATCGGGTCTAAGTGTCTATCATGTAACGACAAGGTTAAATTAGGGGCTCATAATAAGATTTAGTCGCATTGCATAGGTCTAAAGTACACATTAACAAAGGTCATTGACAAATGTTTTTGTGCAACTCATCGATTATCCACAATTTTGGGATTGCTATGTGACCACCAATATAACCAAATGAGCTTAGTTCATAAGTTATGTCCCTCGGCCTCCACGTTCATTTAGAGAGTTCCTAGCCAAGCTAGAGTAGTTGACTATAGAGGATTAACATATTGGTTGATTTTTGTCAAAATTAAAATAAATCAGAACTTTCTAAGATTATTAAATTTAAATACTTTCAGAATTGGACATTCCTTTGATTGAACCTCCCACCAGCTTTTTCCTCAAAAAAAAAAAAAAAAAAAAAAAAAAAACCTCCCACCAGCTTTTATTTCTAAATCCTTGTCTTTAGCTCTTGAACTCAATAAAATAGAGTCTAATGTTCATGTTGGAAGCATCTATTCTAAACGACTTTCAGTACTTTGAACTCCTTCCATATATACGCTGATAGAACATAGAAACATTACTATACAATTGTGTTTTTCTACTTGACTTTTTGATGAGAGGAAAAAAAATGTTGGAAAAGCTAACAGCAACACGCAAATCAGGGCTATCAGGCCAATTAGCTTCAATAATTTACAAGCAAAGAAGACGGGATATCTGTGAGTTCGTGGACTGCTATCACCATACACATGTAGTTAGCTTAGCTGATCCAACCACAAAATGAAAAGTAAAATACACCAAAAACTGCTGTCATAGATAGCGCATTGCCATCAGAGAATCGATACAAAGTCAAGTACTCCAGTCAAGTAACCTCTTAATTCGCACTCCACAAAAATTTTACATCACCTTTGATAATCACCTGCTTCTTGCGTACATCCACTGTGTATTCTTTAAACCCTGTCAGTTCAAGGTGAAGGTTGATTACTTCATAATAATAAAAAGCAGTCCGACATCATTCACTTCGTTAGAATCAATTAGTTTCTCAATTGATACAGGATGAAATAAGGTTTTTATCAGTTTTTCTTAAATTAAGTATCCAATGTTTAAGAAATTTAAATTACCAGTCATTTTTGACAAAACTCTCAACACTTTGTCACGGCAGGAGCTGCATCCCATGTTTGCACTCATTACTATGACCTGATGCTGCATACATATGGGGAGATAATAGTGAAAAAACACTGACTAATATAGCATTGCATGTACAAAGACCATGTACAATATTTCCTTTCACCACAAAAGGGAGGGAAAAAAAAGGGGGGGAAAACGTGTTTATGCTTGGTTTATCTACAATGGTATCTAGGTTTTATTTTATTTTTGTTTATATTATTGTATCACTCTGGTGTGTCATATTCTGACTGAGTACATAATGAGAGCAGGTCAATATATTAGAACAGTTTACTAGATTTGTTTAATGGATATGATATTTAGATCAGCATATTCTGAGTTTCTGAACATGAACAATAATACTTACTGCATTATTAAACAACTAAAAAGGATATCCAACAAGCCACCTTCCGCACAATAAAGAAGATACTCATGCAAATTTGTAGCTGCAAATTACTTCCAGAAGATGCAGTTTTTTGAGTGATAAGACGCCAATCAACATATATGATAAAAATTGTTTTTCATGATTAAACCAACTATTAAGATTTAAGAATATATTAAGATTGTCGAAAAAAAAAAAGAATATATTAAGAAATGGTAACTTTAAATAGCTAAGAGGTCTTATATTTAGAAGAAATGAGAGCAAGAAGGGAAAAAGTTCATAGCATTTGCCATTCTGTTTCAAAGGAAAATGAACCATTTCAAATGACGCACAAACACGAATGTATGCCAGCCAAGACTGTTCATATTCAAGGATGGAAAGATCCATTTACTGAAAATTCTTGCCATTCAAAGAAAGTAATATACCTTGAGTATAATGCAGAAAAAAAATATAAAACAACCAGGAACGAGGTATATGAGATTACTCACAGAAGGGATTGACAGATCTTCAGCAGTAACTAGAGGTAGGCTCTTCCCTGTTCCCATTTCCACGGCGTTGTGCACTCTTTTCTTGTCAGCTTTCTGAATAATGAAATGATTGACACTACTCTTCTTCATTCTATAAATCAATCTAACAGCATGAGTAACAATACTAATCAAGCGTCGGACCAAGCATAATATATAAGGGTAAGACAAGGGGTGATGTCAAAGTAGAAAAGGTTTGGGGTTGTCATCTTTCAGCACTTGAAAATACTCGTATATAAAAATGCCACTAGCCAGTGTAATTCCAGGCTTTCTTCTTCATGCATTCCACCAAGATGGCTATTAGATAAGGTAGAAATAGGAGAGGTAAGAAAATGTTAAAACTGCTGGGCGGCTATGGCCTCCATGTTCACTTTAATCCATAGAAATTCTCTAAAAGCATTATTTTACTATAAGAATTCGATGGAGAAGCAAAAGTATGATATAAAACAATTCCTAAATATGTTAAGAGCTAGAGCATTGAACTTCATTGTTAATGTTTATGACAATAATTACACAACAAACAAATTAACATACCAAAGTTTGACCGAGACAAACACTTTTGCTAGACCCTCCCACCTCCACCCCTTCCTTTGACTTTTGGCATGGCTCGTTAAACAAAGAGATTTAAGAGTACCAATAATCAGACCTAGTACTTTAAAATTTTAAAGTTAAAAACTAAGGTCAAAAAAATATTTGAAACAAAAAGGGGTTACAGCTCCTATCAAACCTATCTCATCAATAATCAATAGCATACACAACTCCTAAACTTTGAAGTAAGGCAGAGAACAATTCGTAGAAACTTAAGGAGAGCCCAAGACATTAGGCAGAGTACCAAACCAAATAGCAAAATTACAAATTGGAAAGTTGAGACCATGATAATCAACTACACAAACAGCCACCTTTCGGTTCACTGCAATGCAAGCAGAGTTTGGAAAGCAACACTTCCTAAGTTCTTATAGGTACTGTCTTCTAAAAACAGAAGGGTTGAAATGTATAACTCATCAGAAAAGGATTTTGTATAGCAATCTGTATGGACAGAATACAAATAAGGGGATGATGAGAGGGGAAGTGGGAAGGCTGGATGACACCCATCTCCGCATCTATGTGAATAATAAACACCAGAAGTGAGAGAAAAGGGAGCCTTATTGACACTAGTGAGAGCTCAAATTTTAGGAAATTATTTAGTTATAGTCTATTCAATGAAACAAGGAATAAATGAACAAATTTTCAGGCACCAAATCACAATCAGATTCAAAAATAAAATAAATGATCGCCGCAGTGTATGCCATCAGCTACCCATAAGGGCCATATAACACCTATACTACCACAGAAGGGGAAGGATAAAAAAAAAAAAAAAAAAAAAAAAATCATTTCAGAGACGGTTACATAATGCACTATCGTGTTTACAACTTGTAAGTATATACATCACCAAACAAAACAATGCGAACAAGTTTAAGCATTCGATTTATATGAGATGAGCAAGAGTGAATACACGGGAAATGGAAATACAATAATAGTTGAAGCAAATATCTAATCTGATCAGCAGTTTGGTGTCAGGTCAAGCAGAGTGAGCTTACGCGAAGCAAGAAGAGAACCAACTCAATTCTCCAGCAAATACACGGGAAATGGAAACAACAAATTTGGAATCCCCCACTGTATCCATAAGAGGTCTCAGAAGCAAGCACTTGAAAGTAAGCCATAGATGAGGAAACACAGGACATATATCACGGTTGCCTCATAAATCGGTCCCTGTAAGGTCAACAAAAAATAAACCCAGTTTAAACCACAAATGAGTTGATATTCACAAACACATATGGCAATGCTCAGAATTGGTTCGATTGGAGATAATCTATAAACATAATAGTACGTGGTAAACAATGAGCAAGGTTTTCCAATAGATAAACATAATACAGTCTCTAGTAGAGTAGTTTCAACAAGATAATCCAGACATACCAATCATAAAATAAACAAGAAATATACCTTGGATAGTGATCATTACAGGGTCTTTTGTTCAATAGCAAGGCTCGCTCCCTCTCCTTCTCAGCCTTCTCTCTTTTGAGTCGTTCTTCCCTAAGCTCCTCCACCGTCTTCTTCGTCTTCTTCATCATCTTATCATTTGTCTCTGATTTTGCCTTCCTTTTTTCCTCCACCTCCTTATCAGGCTTCAGCGTATACCAGGGAGCCTTCACCCCTTTCCCAGCAACACCATAACCAAGCCTATACACCTCATCCTCAGGCCCCACCACCCTCACTTCCTCCTTCTTCATCTTCTTCCTCTTACTACCTTCTTCGTCTTCTTTCTTCACCTTCTTTACAACCTCAATTGGATCCAATATCTTTATTCCGTCGAACAAGTTTATATGCTTCGAATCCGATTCCGATTTGGGTTCATCTGCACAAACTGGTGGTTCCGATTTTGATTCTGATTTCAATTTCAATGGTTCAGCAGCTTCGGAATGAGGATCAACGCCACGAGCACGGCGGAGCTGCAGAAGGCGGAATTCGGAGTCGCGCTTACGAGATTGGTCGCGCTTGAGCTGTTCATCTCTGGCGGCGGCTTCCTCATCTTTACGAACTTTCTCGCGGTTGTCGAAGTTGTAGACATTCCACTTCTTCTGTGGAAGGATGTTTAGACCTCCATGACCTCCCATATCTCAAGATCCGGTGAATGATCGTTTCCGCGGGAGCTTAGGGTTTCACTTGGAATTCAACTACGGGTACTTTTTTTCAGTTAATCGCCAGTACTCAACATCGCTAGCCTAGCCCCTTTTCCAACAACAAAGTAGTCTACTCCGTATTCGAGACGTGAATCACCAGTTTATACCAAGTACGAAGTCCTAGATAATTATCCAAGGACTCTATGACTTTGAGGTCACGAGTTCAGGTCCCACCAACTATATTTGCTTGAGATTAGGGGGATTTTTTTACCTCCCCTCAAGCATTGACCTGTGTAGATGGACTGGCTTAATCTGTGAGGATGTCGGTTTAGTAGAATCCTCTTTACCTTTAGAAGAAAAAAAGAACAACTACATAAATCCTGAACCATGCTCGTTTTGAGGGAAAATTCCCTTCAAAAAACCCTTTACAGAGTAGTAAACGTATATTTAGATGTTTTTCATAGTTTCTTAAAACCCAATTTTGTGTTTTTTAATCTCAAAATTAATCATAATATAATTTAAAACTAGTGTGTGGCCCGGACGTTGCACTGGGTTCATACTTTTATTAAACCTTGAGATTATATTTGCGGTGTTTTTTTTTTCTTTTATATTTAGACCTTGTGATTTGCAATTATATAAATTTGTTTTCATGATTATAACATGGTTAATAATTGGCTTAAACAATAATTAACTTTCTTATAAGAGGTTGAGTGTTCGAATCTCATTATCCTTATGTTTATATATGGAATGATGTTGGTTGCTTGGGTGGCGTCACATAAGTGGCGTAATAAAAGGAGTCTACGTACGCCTTTTAATATATTACTCGTAATATAGAATTTAATAAAAAATTGTTAATGTCATAAAGTTACTACATAATAAGATAAAAACAAAAGAGTTATATTTATCAGCTTATATGAAATAAAATTCATGTTCATATTTAAGCTAAGTTCGTTATTAGTCAAGATTCCCAAATGGTTCAAATCTTGATCTACCATGACCTTGATGGCGTTATTCTTATTACTTGTTCAGTTAATAGAATTTGTTGAAGAGGTGCACCAAACACATCCATCCCCCTTTTAACTCTTTAAAGAAATAATTAGTAATTACCCATCTTCGTCACGTTAGCTAGTCCATCCCGACCTTTATGGAAGGCACACCTATTCACCTCCCTATTCCACCTTTTCTTCTTCTCTGGCATAACTGCATACTTGTTCTAATATCTACATAAACCTTGTGCTAATTACTCGAGTTACTTGGTTTTAAATCTCTTCTTGTTTGTATTAATCATGTGCTAATTATAACCTTAAGTCATGTGCCAAGATTTGCTTTATAAAGGTCACTCATCTCAAGATAAATTAAGTTCAATTAAATTCTAATAAATGAAAATCAAGCTAATAAAAAAAAAATCAAAATCGGTGCAAGTAGAAGATTGAAACGCAAGTAAAACTTAAACTAAGTAGCGGATTAAGTATTGGATTGCGTTAGTACTCTAAAGGATTAAAACAATTTCTCCTCAAAGAACAATGTTACACAATATACAAGGGATTCTTATTTACCAATCACAAGTCTTTAAGCACTTTCATTCAAACTCTTATATTTTATAATGTAGTATTCTTGAGTACGTTAATTGATAACTTTTTTTTTTATTTATTATTCAAGTAAATTACATGTGACATTGTAACTGTTATACTAGTGGCCTGGATTAGCTTTGTCGTCAAATACCTCAAAAAAAAGGGGGGTGGGGGGGTGTGATGGAATCACATTATACTACGTATTATATACATAGCATTATTTTACGATCATGACAATATAATTGATACCACTTCAATGACATACTTTTAAAACAATATGAATGGAGTAAGAATTGAAGGGAGTTATCCCAAAGTTGTAATCCGTAATGACATGAAGTCTTCTCTAAAACGAGTTAAAATCTCTTGAATCTTGAGCTTGTTTCTGTGTCGTCATAGTCTCCTGATTCTTAGACGTCTGTTGGTGTGGCTCACGTCGTTCCAAGCATAATATATGTGTTGTTGTTGACCTGTTGGTGAAGCAATAGGAGCCTCGACATATATGTGTTGTTGTTGTAGCTGCTGCTGCTGCTGTTGTTCGTTGCTGTTGTTGTTGTTGCTGCCGCTGTTGCTGTTGCTGTTGCTGTTGCTGCTGCTGCTGTTGCTGTCATAATTATAATCATCATCATAATATGGATATGGAGGGTCGTTAGAGGCATAGAAAGAATCAGCTTGAGAGTAATCAAGCGAGTGATGATGATGAGCTTTGTAAGTTTGGAAGAGAGGACAACAATGGGTGATAAAAAATGCAACGGCAAACAAACAGAAAATAACCACCCCTATACGAATTCCTTTCCTATGGCGAGGAGGTGACGGAGGCAAAGACTCATTGTTACTCCCTTGGTTTTCCATATCAACATCAGCTATCTTCAGGTATAATTGCTTTGTTTCCATAGTTGAGATCCTAAAGCTTAGTAATCTGATAAGAATGTTAAAATATAGTACGAAGATAATAACAAGTATGTTGTTTAAACTCCTATTCCTAGAAGGATTATATTTCGTGTAATCCTATCTATTTCATTGTTGTTGGGACTTTCCTTTCTTCTTTCCCACGTTTTTAAAGGAATTTTCAGTGAGGCCAATTTTGTAGAAATATAAAGGATGATTGTAATAACAATTTAAAGGTGTAATAGATGGATAACTTTAGCGTAAAGGGTTGATATAAACCTAAAAAAAAAAAAAAAAAGTGGGTTAAGGTAGACTAGCTAACATGCACGGAACAACCCCATGAAGATGACGTTCCGACGCAAGGGTTGGATTCATAAACCTTGTACTCTCTGCAGTTTTTGGCTCTACTTATTTGTGTCATTGTTTTCCTGTATTACTTTTCGCAGTTGTTGGACATTTGGTACCTTCTGTTGTTCAACGACTGCATTATTTAATTAGATATTGAGCAATCTAAGCTTATCTTATTCATTGACTATTAACTAATTTAATGCCATAATTGCATCACATTCAACAATATATGTAATCTAATTTTACATAATTCCTTACATTTATATACAATCATACATCTTTAAATAGACCTTTACTTTTTATATTTCCCTTTTTCAAGGAATTCTCCGGTTAATGGGGCCAGAACTATTTTTTGTTTCTATTCTAAAACATTGGCTTCAATAAATTGCTTTATAAATGCAAACAGACAATAAAATTATTAATAAAACCAAGAACAAGGAAATATGGAGTACAATGTTCACAGATGACGATCCCAAAAAATGGATGTCTAATTGAGAGCTATAAGAGGAAACAGAGGGTAAAACATATTTACAACAAACACTATCTGCTACAGTCCTACAATAAATCATGATACACTGCATAAATGCATATACATTTGCACAACTCAGTGGCAAACAAGCAGATTTCAGGAAGTCAATTAGTGACCAGATCTTTTTCCAATATTCCACGATCACCAAGGGTTTGTCTTGACTCTGGCGACCATACTAACATCTTATAAAAGGATTTTGAAGAGAAAACTCTGGACCAATGTCCGGTATATGATTAGAGGTGAAATTATGTAGCAATTCTATGATTCATAGATGGAATCAGAGAAACCTGCATATTCCAAGGAACTACAATGAGCTTTCTTCTAGACCTTGATCTTGTCCCTGGTATCTCAGGCTCCATGAACTCAGTTAGTGCACTAACCGCTGTATCTGGCAAAGTGATTGCACGACTGAATGTTGGTGGAGATTGACCCTACTAAAATATGAAGTTGCTGATTTGCTCATTCTTTCCTCTTCCAGCACCTCGCCGGAAGATGTATGATCCATCTTCTGCATCTGCATTCAAGCAATTCATCCTATGCCTGAATCGATAAATCAGGAGTTAGTTGGATATATTTCATGAAGAGATTCATTCAAATGACAGAATCTGAATGCAGCTACAAAGGAAGCACAGAGTACTAACCATTCAAAATGATCCTCGCAGCAAATGGATCCCCAGACCATTGCAAGCCCACCTCCTTTCCTGTAATTGACAAGGAGTTAATCGCTACATGTTGGGCCAACAGATTAAACCAATCTCAAAAAGTTCAATGCGATGTTTCAACTAAGTCTCTTAGCTGTTAACCATAAGGCAGTGCTTCAAATTCTTCTTGATATGGATTAGTGAAATTTTCACTCTTTCATCAATCCAGCATATCCATCCATAAGTTTTAAAATTTTTACTCTAGTTAATTTGAATTCATGCAAATTTTCGGATGCCAGACTTTTGGCAAGGAGATTGACTAAGCCATACATATATATAAGCATTTAGATAGCAGACTAGCTGCTGGACACAGGACACATGCCCTTTTCAATCATCTTGTATGATAAAAAATGCTCAAAAACTTCAAGCCAAACTGACATAGGAATTAAAATTCAGAGGAACAATGTAAGGAAAATAGAACATACCATGTTGCAGTATACATATCATAGAACTTGTTGAATGCCTTGTCAAAACAGTAGTGGCAAGTTAAAAGATCCCTGACATCAGTCACTTCACAAGTTGACTTGCAGCATTTGACCTATATGGAAGTAAAAGCTGGACTTATCTCAATAAAACAGAACTTAAACACATACTCTATACAAATAGTCATTTGCAAGTGGCATTGTACATTGTAGCAACTTGGGAATTGACATGTAAAATTATGTTTGAAGCACAGTATAGTAATATTATCCTCTCACGTGAGTTGGATCCAGTCACTCCCCGACTTCACTACAAATATAAGTAAACATCACTAAAAAGGCAGTCAGCAAACCTGCCACCCTAAAGTTGTACGCAAGCAACAAGCAGAAAGACTATTTTGTACACGAATTCTCATCTGTCATGTACTAAGATGAATAAACTGAGGCAGAAACAATAACTCTCACTTTATAGACAAACTACAACCAGCAGAAGCCAGAAGACGTGTAAAAGTAATGCATGACAGAATTCAGCATAGTCTGGGATAAACATAGTCTCAAGAAACCAAACTTATTTTTGTATCTGTTGTCACAAGTGCGAAAGCTGAACAACCAGCACAATGACAAGTGCTACACATTAGCGGTAAAAAACAAGCAGCAGATTTTATCTTCTAAGCAAAATACATACCAAGCGCTCAAGTTTATGAGAGTATATATGTTGATGTGCAGGATGAGCTGATATATGCCCAGAGAGATGGCCTGCACTGCAAAAGTTCTTAATGTCAGAGGACAGAGCAAGTAAGAGATCCTATATTCCTATTAAAGAATAATGACTGAATTAAAGGATCTAGGAGAATTAACAAGTGATGCACCATATTTAAATTTTTTTTAAACATGTCAAAGAAAAAGTTAAATGATAATGGGGGCTTATTGAGCATATATAGGCTCCTGAAGACTCAAACTTGAGGCTGATGACTTTAATAGCACATACTATGTAGTGAGTTGTTTAATTATTCATAAATGGTTAAGTGGGTGCATGAGCACCCTCCTTGCTTAGGGATGTATCCACCACTCACAAAAGATCATAAAACACAGGGATAGAGAACAGGCAGGCTAAAAAATTACAGCGTACAAAAAATAATTGCACTCTAAATTTGGGAATCGCTTGAAGATGTGACCAGCAAGAATCAGACCCAAAAGAGGCCTTAGTCGATGAGTTGGTTCAGGCAGGTCAGAAATTTTGGGAATAGTACCATATTACCATATCACATAAAAGTTTCACATAATCATATAAATTTCATTAATACTGAGCTCAATGAAAATAACATTGCTCCAGAATACCTGTCACAAATTATGGTACTGCAATCAAGGCATGTCGCCAAGGAGATAGAATTGCAGCATGCATTGCACTTAGCATTCACCAAGGTCTTGTTTATCTGGTGGCATCTGAAACATGATATTGACAGAAAGCTACTGTAGAAGGGAACGATTGGAAAAAAGAAAATATATATATATACAAGACAAAAACAATTATATACCCTCCTCTAATTCTAAATTCTCAGAAGCGTAATAGTAATGAAGAGCTGGAGGAGATTGGGCACTCCTGACACGTGTTTTAGACTACCACCTTTTATCAATCAGGTATCTACAAATAAACATAATGATAGGGTATATTATTAAATTACAATGCTCCACAGCACCAAACTCCTAAATCTCATCAGATTTTCCCAAATTCCAATTTCTATTTTCAATTATATTTCTTGTTATTTTATAAATTATCTCTCTCCTCCCTTTCTCCTCCATTCTCCTTTACTATTATCAGATTTGCAATGCTACAAAACTGCATATCATTACCATCAATCAAGAATTCGAGCAAATAATAGATTGTAAATTTGTGAGACCCAAATTTTATAGAGAGCTTCCACCAATTACTGCAACATTCAGAAGACTGGCAAGTGGCAACATGTCAAATCGTGAGAACGCCACACATGGCATGGAATATTGGCAAATTGGAAGGTAGTGCAATCATCTTTCTAAAGATCCAAAGTGATCCCAAAGCTGCCCACCAAATCTATAATAAAACCACTAGATACACCATAAATGTGCCAACAAGCTAAAATTTACTACTTATTACTTGCTTTACTAAATAGTTGCACCATTTCTCTTTCGATGAACAATTATAATACTTTGATCATAAATTGTAACAAGTTCATAAGAGAAAACATGACAAGTGGGATCTTGTTAGAAGCGTCTCATAATTTTATCAATGCATAATTACAGATATTTATGGTCAAACTAGTTCATTGAAGACCATGAAAAGACAAATGCTGCATCTATTTTGGGACAAATTACCTCTTATGAAGTTAAGAGGTGGCAAAGAATTTTTCATTTATGTTTTAACAGGGTCAAAAATCAAAAGCTGCCCACGCGATTAAGACAGGGGGAGGAGAAACAGTTATGTTTCGTTTTAGATGTTAACAATCTAACATGCCCCCCCCCCCCAAAAAAAAAAAAAAAAGGGGGGGGGGGAGCATGAAAAAAAAAACGACACTTCATGTAAAATTCTTCATTGATTTGATATGAGGTATGCAAGGGAATTTAAAGGGCATTAGTCATCTCGCACCTTCACTAAAACACTAATTGGCTAAACGTTGATCAACATTAGATTAAATCACAATGAACCACAATAGCAGCAACATAGAAGCAAAAAAAAAAAAAGGAAAAGGAAGTTGAATTCCCTATAGAGATAAACATAGAAATATTCTTTAATAATGACAGACACAAACCTTCTGTACAATTCACGAAGTTTTGCGGATATGAACACAGGTCTCTTTGGCTTTACTGCACCCTACATATTGTAGGAAGAGGGGTTTAAGGCACATAAAGTAAAATGATGTAACATGCATAAACGTCCTGAGATACATGCTATCAAACAAAGATTGAACAAAGCCAAAGAAGAAAAGAGAGAGAGAGAGAGAGAGAGAGAGAGAGAGAGAGAGAGAGAGAGAGAAGGGAACAAAGGAAGAGTGGCAACATAAAGAGCACCTGACTGCAAATTCGAGTCAAATTTAAAGCTTGGAGGCAAGGTTTGGATACTAAACAATCTTCAGCAAGATGACCAGGTTTATTGCACTTCCAACTACAAAAAATAGTAGAGAATCAAGACATAATATGTAAGAAGCAGAAACAGAAGACACGATTGATGATGTACAAGATCACAAGTTTCATAACCTAGAGGGAGCATCATTTATCGTAACATCATGAATCATGATAGCAAATTCAAAGGCAAGAAGCAAGAAAGTCATAGTTTCACAAGGAGACTAGTATCACATATTTCCGTTACCAGCATTATGGCTTGTCACTTTATCAAGGCATAAAACTGAGGAAAATTTGTCAAATAACTCCTTTTATAACCCTTTTGTTGTGAAAAACCACCTTATAATTTTTTTTTGCTAAAACACACCTAAAACCAGAATTTTTTTTTGCGAGAACACACCTTACCCCGGTTTCAGGCCATTATCTACGTTTACCGGCGTGACCCTCACGTGAGGGGGTCAACGCCAGTAAACCAAGTCAATGGCCTGAAACCGGGGTAAGGTGTGTTCTCGCAAAAAAAAACTGGTTTTAGGTGTGTTTTAACAAACAAAAAAAATTATAAGGTGGTTTTTCACAACAAAAGGGTTATTTAAGGTGTTATCTGACAAATTTTCCTAAAATTAATTGATACTCTAATGAAAGATTTTTTTTTTTTTTTTACCATTTTTTTACGTTAAACAGGCCATGCTAAAACACTTTGTGAAAAAGTTATATATTCTACATGATTGAAGAACTTTACCATTCATAAGTCGATAAGCAAGATCTCTTTGTAGACCATCTATTAAGATCAAAGTCCCAAGTGTCTTCTTCTAATTCAGATCGTACTAATGATCCTTGGGGTTCATTTGTAGACAAAATCACTTCACTATTAACAACACCCTGCATAAATCAGATTTCTGTTAAGAACGATTTCTTCAAATTTGTCAGAGCCTAATTCAAAGAATAGACAGACTGCTACCTCAGCAGGGCCATCATGCTTTTGCTTTAACAGCACAGCCTTGCAATCCATGCTACAAATGTCATCATCAGTCTGCCAAAAAACAATACACCCCAAATAAGCCAATGAGTAGCAGGAAAGCCACAAAAAAGTAGGTGAAAATAAGATTCAGGATTCAGAAAAAACATGAAACCGTGGTCAAAATTCTACAATCTACATCATACCTCATCACATATGTACTCCCCATATCTACCACAAATAACACAGACAGGTTCACCAGGTAGAGGAAATCGTTGCTCACTTCTACTTTTTGTATGATCAGCTTGCTCCACATGATCTAAAATTTGATTAGGAATCTGTTAGTAGGTGAGAAAATGCTGTTAAGAAAACCTCATCACATAAGAATACCAGAACAACGAACAGACATTTTAAACTGAATGAAATGCTTTTTAGGTAGATAATCATGCCTAGGGGTGAAAGTAATTTGGATTAAAACTGAACCAAACCGAAAACCAAACCGAATAAGCAATTCGGTTTGGATTTTTTATAATTCGGTTCGGATTGGATTGAAAAAATTAGAAATTCGGTTTTTCGGTTAGGATCTCAAAACCGAACCAAACCGAATTTTTAATACTAGGCATATGTCAGACCTTAAATATACCCTGGTCCCTGGCCCAAATGAAATAAGCCCAAACCTCTTGTCTTATAATCAAAACAAAACCCTGAGACCCATTTTCCCATCCTTTCATGAGTTTCATCCGCCACTTTCCACTCTCTTTCACTCTAAACTTTCTCTTTCCTCTCTAATCTCACATATAAGTTGTTCTTCAATTTTGGCCAAAAAATCAACTACGAACTCCAACAAAAGTTTGTAGTTTGTAGTGTATATAATTCGTCTCAAAAGATTGAAAATTGAAGAAACAAGCTTTGAAATTTGGCATGCTCGTCTTCGAAATTTTAGCTTTCTTTCAAATCTAAGGGTTGTAAACTATGTAATTTTATCTGATGTTGTAGTTGTATTACTCCTATTTTTACTTTAATTTGAAGATCTGTAAAGTATAAATTTAGTTGTATTTTTATTAGTTTTATTATTATCATCAAAAATCTGGCAAAAATAAATAAATAAATTATTCGGTTTTCGGTTTGGAACCGAATTAGATTATACAATTATGGATAGGATTGGTTCGTTTTCATATTCAACTCGGTTTGGAAAATTCAAAACCGAATTAATTCGGTTTGGATTTGGATTGGGCCAAATTCCAAACTGAACACCGAACTTTCACCCTTAATCATGCCTCTAAAGTCTAAACTCTTAGGCTCCGTTTGTTATCGGTGGAAAGTTGCTTCTTAGAGAAGGAAAACTGTATTCGTTTTGTAAATAAGGTGTGCCACATTTTCCTCTTTATTCCTCACTTCTCTATTTCCTCTCCTCTATCCTTCCCCTTTCTTTCATTTCCACACTTCCCTTTTTCTCCATAAAGTTTTTCTATAATGAAACAAAGGAAAACCTTCTTCACAATCATGTTTTCCACTAAAAGTAGTTTTGTTTCAAAAATTATTTTCCATGAAAAATGTTTTCCATCAAAACAAACGAAGCCTTAATTCTTTATGTTAAATAAACCCTAAGCATAGATCGCATTCACTTTTACTTAAAGTCAACAACATAAAATCTATCGGTGTGGAAACTAAAAAGAGCTTATTTGAATTTATCCAACACTCAGAGTTATATTTCAAGTTTCAAGACACTGGCCACAATTGTTTCCGTAAATTTAAGTTTGTTGGTGAGTATCAATGCTCAAAACCATAGAAAAATATTCAGGTCACAGTGGAAGTAACTGACAAAAGATTTTCCCATTACAATTAGATTACATCAAGGGTCTGCATTAAGCCCTTTTCTTTTTGCAACGATTCTAGACAAAGTAACCAGACCAATTTAAGATAAGGTTCCATGGTATATGTTGTTTGGATAATATCGTTTTGGTGGATGAAACTAAAGATGGGGTTAATGCCAATTTAGAGCAGTGGAGGCAAAGGTTGGAATCTAGAGGGTTTAAGCTAAGTCGGAGTAAGACTGAATATTAGGTATGCCACTTTGGTACTCAGAAGGAGACAAGCGATGATGTGGTGAGTTTGGATGGAAGGGACTTGACCATGAGTGAATGTTTTAAATATCTTGGGTCAATCATCCAGAAAATGGTGACATTGATCAAGACGTAGCCCACAGGATTAAGTCGGAGTGGCTTAAATGGAAAGCAAACACATGAGTATTATGTGACTGAAGCATTCCCTTCCCTTACAGTTAAAGGTGAAATTCTATAGGACTGCCATAAGACCAATGTTGCTCTATGGGACCGAATGTTGGGCTTCTAAAAAGGAGCACATTAAAAACATGGAGGTTACGGAAATGCACATGTTAAGGTGGATGTGCGGGAACACTCTAATAGATAGAATAAAAAATAAGCTTATTCACAAGAAAGTAGGTGTGGCAGGCATTGCAGACAAAATAAGGGAAAATTATCTGCGTTGGTCTGTGCATGTAAGACGAAGAGTGGAAGAGTGGGACCATGGCGGGGTTAAACGAGGGAGAGGGAGACCGAAAATGACTTGGTTGGAAGGAGTTAGGAAGGATATGAAGTATATAGATTTGCATAAGGATGAGGCATTGGATCGTAAGGGATAGAGGAGGAAATTTTTGTCGATGACTACAAGGAATAATCACTTTTGGTTCATGTAACCGATCCCACTTATGGGATTAAGGCTTTGATTGATTGATTCTGTGGAAGTAACAGTCATAGAGTGATGGTCAGATGGACTTGCACAAGAAACACCTTATCGATTTTACTTTATACATCATGGATTGAATGGCATGGATGAATCAGAATTGCTTTAAAAGCAGATAATAGTGGCCAACCAATGACTTAATGACTTGTAACAATATTACAATACGCCTCAAAAACACACATTCAGACCAGGATTTTTGTAGAACATCAAATTGAAGAACCTTTACAAAACAGAACAACCTGGTATGCTAGAAATCCTTCAACTCCAACCCAAAATTACAAGAGATGGGAGTTGGTGGCTCCTTTCTCAATAACACAGAGGAAAATAAAAGGCATTAAGAAGAGTTGAGAAACCAACTACTGCGTAAAAAATAAAGCTCGGTATAAAGCAGGAAAATAAAAGGAACATCTCAGGCAAAAGTGAAGAAGTCTGATGAAGTGATGAAGGAAAAACACCTAAATTTGGCTGTCCTGATAGTTGTTTTGATACTGAAGGACAATCATCACCTGATGCCAAAGAGGAATACAGAAAATCAGAAGTCAGCAACACATGAATAACAGAAAAAAGAAAGCAATAGTATGTATAGCCACGATTCCCTAGGTTCTAATCTTTATATTAAGAAGATTCTATAGAAAGGCCTAAAACAGAACCATGAATCATAAAGAGCTATCCAAAATCGTATGAAAACTTGCTGGAAAAGTATCTCATAGCTTATTTTGTATTGTAAAAGGTGCAATTGCGTAAATGACAGGTTAGTCTCCTGATTCAGGATGAAATACTTGTCAACCATGATAAGTGTAGTTGTATTGGGCAGATTTGGGCGTTGCACGAGTAAACAGGAAATACAGGCAAAAAACAAATACTGGTCAGTGAGAAAACAGGAGTCAAGTGGAGATCAGAAAGTTGAGGTAATTTGTGGATTCATGATTAATGAATAATACATAAAATGAAGCTGAAAGACACAAGAAAAAGAAAAGCATGGAGTTGTTAATTTTGTTTCAACCATCATTATGAACAAGTAGCAAATAAGTAACAAATGGAAAACAATAGAAGAAGTGAAATGTAAGGTGAAATATGAAAATGAATGGTACAAGGTGGAAAAATAGAAAGGAAGAATACTGACTGTCACTTGCGTAATCCACCAAATGTAAACCAGAAGCAGATGAACCCTGTCATTGTACATAAATTCATATCAAAATAGAAATAACTCGGTAATAGTTATATTAAGAAGAAGAATGAATTACCAGAACATCTGGGGTTAATTTCTGGTACCCCTGAAAAGAAGAAGAAGCAGCTTCTTGCCTGTCAAATAATTAATTGAAATTGATTTCAGGATGAAACATAGAAGAAGATCGTAATATCGAAGAAGAAGAAGAATAGCAAGCAATTAATCAAAGTAGACCTTCGTAAGTGGATGTAATCCTGGTGAGACATAGGCCCATCATCGACTTCAATTTGGCCTTGGCAGGGATTGGTGGATTGCCGACGACGTCGTTTAGGGCGGGGCTTGGGATTCAGAGCGGGGGCCGGCGAATCGTTAGACGGCGTAGCATTGCCGGTGATGGCATTGTAAGTTTGAAGATTCTGAATAATGGAGGAGAGGCTGTAAGCTTTTTTGTAAGAAAAGGAAGGGTTCTTATACAAATTCGACCGAGTCGACATCTTTCTCTTCACTCTTCTTTTATCTCTAGTCTCTACCCTTCTTTTACAGACACCACTATCATTTTAGACTACTCTCATGCCGTCATCTCCAAATTTTTGGGAAAGGGAAGGAGGTAAAAGTGTAGAGCGATTTGATTATTTGATCTAATTGTAGTGATCAAATTGATTTAGACCAAAATCACCGAATTTAACCGGCTCCAAAATCGATCCATATACATTCGTATAACTTATGAAATTTTGTCTAACAACTACCAAATTAAGTCTCTGTTTTGAAAATAACTACCTTTTAAAAAAAAATTAAAACAACTACCACAAACTTGTAAAACGTTAGAGTAGCACTATCACTCTTAAATTTCCGGCAAGAATCTCCAATGAGTGGGTCCCACTTTCTCCCTTTCCCTCTAATTTTTGTTTCTCTCTCCTCTCTATATAACAGCTAATGTTAGTTTTCCAATTGAACAAATTTTCTATTTTTTCCCTCCAAATTTCTTCCTTTTTTCAACAATTGAGCAAGAGGAATAATTTCTAGAACATTACATCAGATAATTTGAGAATTTTATATGCTAATTTGGGTTCTTAATGATTCGAGATTGGGGAAATTAGGGTTTAGCAATTTTTTGCGTTTTGACTAAATTGAATGGATTTATCGACATTAGGGTTTATTAATTGGTTGTTATCCATGTATTTGCAGGTGGAATTTGTCCTTCAGCAGCTGTCACCATCTTCCCCTTCTCCATTAAAGCTTCGGCTTTCCCAAAGTAGAAACGACAACTCCAATTTGGTTGAAAGTTTGGACCACCGCGACAGAGAGAGAAAATGTGAGAAACAGTGGGGCAAATTCAGTGACCTAAGCTAGATTAAAGTGTGAGGTGAGAATATTCTCTGTGAATTTCAAAGGTTGTTGGAAATGGAGATGAGGGAGAGTATAGGGGAGTTAGGCGGGAATTCAATGAACAGAAGGGAAGGTAGTTGGGTCTGGAATTAGGTAAATTCGGATGGTCAAATTGGAGGGAGAGGGAGAAAGTGGGACCCACTCACCGGAGATTCTTGCCGGAAATTTAAGAATGGTAGTGCTACTCTAACTTTTTACAAGTTTGTGGTAGTTGTTTTAAAAAATAAATAAATAAATAAAAGGTAGATGTTTTCAAAACAGAGACTTAAAATTGGTAGTTGTTGACAAAATTATCTAGATCACTACATTTAGATCAAATTCTTGCCGCTAAGGTTTTTTTTTTTTTTTTCTATGTTCTTATTTTTCTAACCAATTTCTTACAAAAGAATTCAAAAAATAAATTATATTTAAAAACATTTAGGTTAAATAGGATGAAATGTCTCAACTTCTATAAACCATAAATATTGTATCAAATCCTAAACGACTCAATACAAACAAAATCAGATATTATCATACAAAGAAGTTTCTTGGAGGTATAGTTTGTAAATTAAGGAAGGTAGAGACTGGATCTTGCCTGGGCTAAGCGGCCCAATTGAGCTTGCAAGCAACATTGAGCACTTTGGCTATGGAAAATACAAATTTGGTTGCTCACCTAATGGCCGTTGGCAGTAAAACTTGTTAATCTGTTGTTTGGGTCCAATTTAGTCCAATTGGGCCTAAGCACTAAATGATTCAATTAAAAGCCCAAGGTCAAGGTTCAACTCTCCAATTGTGCTAAAGTCAAAGGTCAGCCCACAAAGCAAGCCAATTGGGCTAAGGCCCAACCTCTCCGTGTATGATGAGGTATAAAAGCCATCATATTGATTCATTCATGGAGGGATTCTGATTCATTCATAGATTCATATGTTCATTCATATATTCTGATATATTCCATAAAAGCCTCAAGCAACAAACTCTCTTGCATAGTGTCCTCTTCTTACACATTGTACTGACTTTAGCATCGGAGGGGCCTTCCTCGGCAACACCCCCGAGGCTAGTTTACGTGTGTTTACTGTGCAGGAAACCTTGGGCCCAACATAACTTGGACCGAATCCAGCCTTCTCCATTTCAGCGGACCTTCGGCAAGGTCCCATTGTTTTCACCCGAAACAATTTGGCGCCGTCTGTGGGGAAGACTTTCAAAAATCTTTAAGCCAAATTCCTAACCAAGATCATCTTGCAATTATCTTAGCAGCAATGGCTAAGAACCGCAAGAGAAAAAGCCTCCGTCAAGGAGCGGGCGAAAAGCCTAAAACCCCTACACCATCACCCTCGCCGGACCGGAACTCTCCCAAGGGTGCCGGCTCGGGGGGAGGATCATACAAGGAGGATTCCCTATCTCCCGTAATTCATGACTCTCATTATAGGCCGGGTCACTCTCGGTCTAGCGGGGGTAAGTCCGATCATAGGACACATTCAGTGTCCCAAAGCCAACCATCGGCTGCGCGCCCTCATTCCCACACTCGGCCGAGGACCCCTTTGACGGGGCCCAGCTCGGAAGAGGTGGCAAGAGCGCTGGCAGTACTCATGGAGGCGATGAGGGCACAAAATATGCCACCACCTCGTGATCGAACTCCTCCGCATACCCGGCATCAGCGGAGGAAGTTAGACCATGAAGGTGGGAAGCTTCCTTCCTTCCGGGAACTGGAAGAGTGGGAGGAGGATTCCTGGAAAAATGAAAAACAGAGGAAAAAGAACCCTCAATTTTTAAAAGGATCCTCATCCTCAAGACCAGAAGCGCATAAGAGCAGCAGCTCAGCTTCTCGGCCAGAATCTACTCACCGAGAACCTGAGACTGTTCGCAGAAGCGTCCTTGACCGACTCGGCGGCAAGGAACCGAGCGTGCGCAGTCGCCTCTCGTTCCCTGCAGCCGAGGCCCAGACTTCCCAGCCAGGGACGAAAACCACTCCTACCTCTCTAAGAGGGCGGAGCGCGGTCCCTTCGGCCAGGAACAAGGGCAAGGCCGTTATGCTACCCGCTAGTTCACCATTCGAGCAATGGATACTGGAAGAGCGCGTACCCACGGTTAAAATACCGTCGCACATCACATATGACGGGACCACGGATCCGAAGGATCACGTGGCCTCGTATGAGACTCATATGCATCTTTGCCCCAGATCCGAGGCGACTTGGTGCAAATATTTCCCAACCACTCTCAAGGGGGTCGCGCAAGCGTGGATCTCCAAGGGAGTAAGGCAAGGCTCCGTAACAGGGTGGGATGATCTGTCCTCCAAGTTCAGGAGCAAGTTTTCCACGGCAAACCGCCGAGAGAAGACTACCGCAGAGCTCATGAGTCTGCAACAGGGGGAAACCGAAAGCCTCCGAGACTACCTGACCCGTTTCAGTAACGAGTCATCAAGCGTCTCCCAGCTGGACCAGGGGCTAGCCGTTTTCGCAATGCAGAATGGCCTTCAGCCAGGAAAGTTCCTAGACTTCATGGTCATGCATACCCCGCAGACCTTGGAGGAAGCTCTTAGTGCTTCGGATAAGTTCATCCGAGCCGAAGAATGGAACAAAGCGAAAACCCAACCTCAATTCGGGGGAGGGAAACAGAAGCAAATACCCTTGTCTGAAGGCCAAGGCCATAAGGCAAAGGGAAAGTCAAAGGCCCCGGAGCAATCTTTGGCCAACGACCCTAAGAAGGAAAGATTTGCCTCATACACAGGCAGATACGAGTCCTACACTCCGCTCTCTCTTCCACGCGCCAAAATTTACAGTGTGACGAAGGAGGAGCAGAGTTACCGAAAGCCGAGACCACTCCCAGAGTGGTATCAGCGAAAAAATAAAAATCAGTGGTGTGAGTTCCACGAGTCTTCGGGCCACAACACTGAGGAGTGTATCCAACTGAAGGACTAGATAGAGGACATGGTCCGGAAGGGATACTTGAAAAAATACATCGCGGATCACCGCGAGAAAAAAGAATCCGAGAGGTCAGCAAAGGACCCTCGGCAGGACCTCGACTTCCCCCGGAAAAACAGTAAAAAGCCGGAGGGGGAAATTCCCTCCGATCAATGTTATCTCGGGAGGAATATACTCTCGGAGGGAGCACAAGCGCCACCTTAGAGCTTTGACTCACCAGGTGAACAACGCTGACATTCAATCTCCCCAGTCGCCGGTGCCGAACATGACGTTCACAGCCGCCGACTGCCGGGGGATTACGTTCCCTCACGAGGATCCGTTGGTGATCATCGCCACGGTGGCCAACCACGACGTCAGTAAGGTCCTTTTTGACGGTGGCAGTGGAGCAAACATTCTGTTCCGAAAGGCCTACAATCAAATTAAGCTGAAGCCCAAGCACCTTACGCCGGTACCCTATCCGGTATCCGGGTTCAATGGGGCTTCAACTTATCCAGATGGGAAGGTGACACTTCCTGTCACCATCGGTTGCGATGAGGCAGCCCGGAACGTCATGATTGAATTTTTGGTCATCGACGCTCCTTCAGTGTACAACGTGATTTTGGGGAGACCCATAATTCACGAGATCCAAGGGGTCGTCTCAACTTATCATCAGCTGATGATTTACGTCTCAGACGCCGGCTTCCCCGAAAGGATACAGGGCAACCAAAAGGACGCCCGAAGGTGCAACTACCTCAAGCCATCCAGAAGTCGCCGAGATGACGACAAGGAAGAGGAGGAGAAAGAAAGAGAGCCAAGCACAAAAAAGCCAAAAGGCCTAAGTGCTTCGGCCCAAGGATCTGTGCCCAGAGAAAAAGGGCCCGAAAGGGAAAAGGCTAGCTCTTCAGCTGAGCCGCAAGACTCAGAAAGCCAGCCGAAGAACAAAAAGACTGGGACACCTGCTGACATTGGCAGCAGGCCAGATTCTGAAGAGTCCAGTCCATCGGCAATGGACATGGACCAACAGACTGAAACAGTTGAGTTGGCCGAAGGAGACGGTGAGAAATGTGTAGCAATTGGGATGGACCTTGATCCGAACACCCGTTGTGAACTTATTCAGCTCCTTCGGGACAACAGAGATGTGTTTGCTTTCTCGGCAGCTGATATGCCCGGGATAAGTTCAGACCTCATCTCCCATAAGCTTAATGTTGACCCGACGTGTCGACCAGTTAAGCAAAAGAAGCGGAATTACTCCGCCAATAAGAACCGAGACATCGCAGCCGAGGTCAAAAAATTATTGGAGGCAGGATTCATCGAACCTTGCCAATATCCAGAATGGCTGGCAAATGTGGTGATGGTTCAGAAGCCCAATGGTACCTGGAGGATGTGCGTTGACTTCACGGACCTAAATAAGGCTTGTCCAAAGGATTTCTATCCCTTGCCGAGGATCGATCAGCTAGTCGATTCGACAAGTGGCCATGCCTTGCTTAGTTTCATGGACGCATTCTCGGGGTATTATCAGATCTTTATGCACCCCGACGATCGAGCCAAGACATCATTCGTCACGAACGCTGGGGTGTACAATTACAAAATGATGCCCTTCGGATTGAAAAATGCGGGGGCAACCTATCAAAGGCTGGTGGAT